ATCTAGGATCTAGTCAATGATATAGTCTATAAACTCATGTCAATATTCGTATATAAATATTAACCATAAAGATATATTTTTTCAAAATATTCTTGTTATTGACAAAAAATATTAAAAAATCTTCAATAGAAAACGAAACACACACATAATCTCACACACATAAATGGCAAAAACAAAAACAGATTAAAAGAAAATACAAAACAATTTTGTTCTCTTTTTTTGAAAGGATTTTTTCATAGCAATTTTATGTTTTTATATAGATAAAATAAGTTGTTGTTTTTTTCCGATTTCTTTCTTTTTAAAAATTCTATAATTATTATAATACAATAGGTAAAGTAGTATTAAGTAGTAGTAGCATTTAGTAGTAGTAATAATAGTATTTTTAATCAAGTCTATTTATTTATTTTAATGTAGTAGCACACGTAGTTATAGTAGAAATTTATGTAGATGTTTGTTTTTGGTTTCTGAAATTGTAAAATTAGAAATAAAAAAAATATAAATGTACGCTATTAGAAAACCTCAACAAACATATTTAGTAAAATCGTTTAACAAAAGCAATAGAATAAAAAAATAAAGTAAGAGAAATAAAAGGGGATAACAACTCTAGGGTCTAGAGACATGCGGGATTTAGAATCATAAGACTTTTTGTGTTTGTGTGTGAGAAATATATGTGGTGTTGAGAATGCATTTTAAGAATTAGTAAAATTTTATTAAAAAACAATTAAAAATTCTATATTCGGCTGTGCCGAATCTTATATACCCTTCACCAAAGTGTGTTAAAAGAACAGTCAGTAGGTTTTTTATTACAAACTTAATCGTGACTTAATCGAATCCACTATCTATACGGGTCCAAAATATATCACTTTATGAGTTCGGAAAAATATATTGTAGAAATTATAAACGGAATGATAAACTTATATACTACCCTTCTCACGAAGGTGAAGGATATAACACTGATATTAAAACTGTTAAAATTTGCTTTAAAAATCAAACCAGTTGGGGGAACTTCAATTGTTGAACATAACGGCCTAAATATCTGATTTAAATTTGTTGGTCCTGCGAATCCAATATTAAAACAACTCTTCTACTATTTCACATTCAAACAGAACAATATTTTTATAGTTTTTTTACTGAAATCTCAACCAAGTAACAACAATAATTAATAAAGAAACAACAACATGCTTAATTAATTAACTAAAAAGTTAGTTTTAAAACAACAAATACTAAAATATAAAAAATTATTAAAATAACAAAACAGATTTTTTTTCAAAATTTCTTTAACACCAAAACAAACCTCTGATTTGATTTACGAGGTGGAGGTAAAGGTGCGCGACCTATGGGACCACTTGGAGGTGGCGGTGGGGGTACTGATGTTACACTATGTGTTGTAGTCGTTGTCGTAGCTGACGAGTTGGTAGACGAAATCGAATTTGTATGAGCGTGTTTTTTGGTACGCGGTGGTACGGGTATAGAACGATCTGAACGTTCCGATGAAACCGAAGGACTATGACGATTTAAATCATGTATAACACTAAAAAATTGACAGATTTAATTTTAAACATAAAAAATGAAAAGTTATTAAAACTTAAGAAACGAAAATGAAAAATGATTTTAAATGAGAAAACACTTAGAAATGAAAACTAAACTACTACCCAGCAGACGCCAACCACAAAACATAAAATATATTAACTCTAGCCCCAAATACCTGTCATTGTTAGAAGCATGCTGTTGTTGCTGTTGTGCAGTTGCTGCTGCAGCCGAGGCAATGGCCGCCACTGTTGCACTATTCGTATGATTATGATTGCCCACATGATTCATAACTTCAAATGGTGCCTGTTGCAGGGGGGTACGTGGTGTTATTGCTGGTGCAGCTGTTAGCATGGGGGTCGGTGGTGCATTGCCCAAATAAAATTGCACCGATTGTGATTCGATATTATCCTCACTACCCGATGAATCATCTCGTCCCATTGTCGAACTACTATTTAAGAGTGTGGAAGCACTTAGACCAGAATTCCGACTGTAACCATCAATTAAACCTGGCAAAATACAAAAAATTTCTTTTTCTTTTAATCAGCTAAATCTTGTCATTAGGGATCTAAGGCATAATATATAATTTGTTTAAAAAAAGAGAATGTTAAAAGACCGGCACGAAATAAAAATTTAATGAACAGCAGCAAATGAATGAGTTTGTAGTTGTTAACAACTGTTTGTTTGGCGAGACAAATGATGGTATGGAGTTAAATGGGAGATTAAGACGATTTTCTGCAGAAATGTATTTGAATGTGATTAAGACACACTGTCTCACGCAAAGAGTTCTCTCTCTCTCTCTCTTTCTCACTAAAGAGATTTCTTGCACAACTGAATTAATACGATTGCTATTGACATTTTTACTCTGTAATAGGCATGGAAAATTCAGTACTTTAGTACTATAGTCTAGTCTTCAGTTTAGTCTATAGTCTAGTCTATAGTCTAGTCTGTAGTCTAGTCTGTAGTCTAGTCTGTAGTCTAGTCTATAGTCTAGTCTATAGTCTAGTCTATAGTCTAGTCTATAGTCTAGTCTATAGTCTAGTCTATAGTCTAGTCTATAGTCTAGTCTATAGTCTAGTCTATAGTCTAGTCTATAGTCCAGTCTATAGTCCAGTCTATAGTCCAGTCTATAGTCTAGTCTGTAGTCTAGTCTATAGTCTAGTCTATAGTCTAGTCTATAGTCTAGTCTATAGTCTAGTCTATAGTCTAGTCTATAGTCTAGTATATAGTCCAGTCTATAGTTTAGTCTATAGTTTAGTCTATAGTTTAGTCTATAGTTTAGTCTATAGTCTAGTCTATAGTCTAGTCTATAGTCTAGTCTATAGTCCAGTCTATAGTCTAGTCTATAGCCTAGTCTATAGTCTAGTCTATAGTCTAGTCTATAGTCTAGTCTATAGTCTAGTCTATAGTCTATTCTATAGTCTAGTCTATAGTCTAGTCTATAGACTAGACTATAGACTAGACTATAGACTAGTCTATTTCTAGTCTATAGTCTAGTCTATAGTCTAGTCTATAGTCTAGTCTATAGTCTAATCTATAGTCTAGTCTATAGTCTAGTCTATAGTCTAGTCTATAGTCTAGTCTATAGTCTAGTCTATAGTCTAGTCTATAGTCTAGTCTATAGTCTAGTCTATAGTCTAGTCTATAGTCTAGTCTATAGTCTAGTCTATAGTCTAGTCTATAGTCTAGTCTATAGTCTAGTCTATAGTCTAGTCTATAGTCTAGTCTATAGTCTAGTCTATAGTCTAGTCTATAGTCTAGTCTATAGTCTAGTCTATAGTCTAGTCTATAGTCTAGTCTATAGTCTAGTCTATAGTCTAGTCTATAGTCTAGTCTATAATCTAGTCTATAGTCTAGTCTATAGTCTAGTCTATAGTCTAGTCTATAGTCTAGTCTATAGTCTAGTCTATAGTCTAGTCTATAATCTAGTCTATAGTCTAGTCTATAGTCTAGTTTATAGTCTAGTCTATAGAACTGAATTAGAACTGAACTAGAACTGAACTAGAACTGAACTAGAACTGAACTAGAACTGAACTAGAACTGAACTAGAACTGAACTAGAACTGAACTAGAACTGAACTAGAACTGAACTAGAACTGAACTAGAACTGAACTAGAACTGAACTAGAACTGAACTAGAACTGAACTAGAACTGAACTAGAACTGATTTAGAACTGAACTAGAACTGAACTAGAACTGAACTACTTAGAACTGAACTAGAACTGAACTAGAACTGAACTAGAACTGAACTAGAACTGAACTAGAACTGAACTATAGTCTAGTCTATTGTCTAGTCTATAGACTAGTCTGCTTCGGAATTCTGTTCATATCTCCCCTTATTAATGGACTGATTTTGTTGATTATCAATAGGAAACTTCACAAAAGAATATTTGACAAAATTATTGAAGATTTAGATTTTGAAGATATCTGGGGTCTTCAGAAAAATGGTTTCAACAGACACCCAGATGGACAGACGGACAGAAATTACAAACGGAATGACAAAAGAACTCATAAGTTTTGAAAGGATTTACAGGAGTAGACAGCTAGAATCAAATGTGTTCCATTTTAATTACAAGTGTTATATTATAACAAATTTTACACAATGTAATTGTAAGATAAATCTTAATAATCATAATATTTATACATTTTTACATTTATGAACATATATTTTTTGAGCTGAATGTAGACAAAAACAAATATTTACATTTTTAAAGTCAAGGTGAGTTCAAAATGTAGACATTGCCTTCTTTTTGAATTCGCCTTGTTAAAGGGAGCTATATTACATATAATGATTGACCGCAAACAAATGTATACACATACATACCTAAATGAAACGGAAAAGTGATGAGATAAAAATCTATATAATTATTATACATTAAAACTACAAATTACAAAGTCTAAACAAAAACTACAATGATGAAAACAATACAAATGGTTTAACAAGAGCTTTAATAATGATTTTAGGCGCTCAAAGAAAATGTTATTAATGAAATTTATAAAAGAAAAAGAAAACAAACAAAACTGTTTTTACAACCATCATGCCAACATTAGGTAAAAGGAAATAAACAAAATAAAAGAAAACAGAAAATTCTTGGTTAATAATATTAATAACAAGATAGCAATACAGAGAGTTATGGTAAATGAAAGATCAACGGTTTCTTACCTTATATTGCTTTGGTGAAAGGGACATTTTCTCACGCTCGGAATTTACGTATTTTTAGTAAAGCCGTATTTGTATTGATATAAATTTGTAATAGAAAAAGGAATTTGTAATGAAAAGATAAAGATAAATAAAAACATTCAAAATCAAAATAAGAAACCCAATTGTTTAATGGTAAAATGGGACCCCTTTAGTTTGCATTAATACTTACTACTTTGTTTTGTCATTTTATTGGAAAATATTAGAGCCTATAAAATTTAACCCATTCCGGTGGTAGGTTTTACCTTTTAGAAATTTAAACCTATGTTGGTCATGATGGTTGTTTAAAAATTAGTAAAACTATTTCATTTCAAAAATATCTGGACATACAACATGGGATGTGAATTGATACTAAATCTCAGTATTAACAATACTGAAATTTCAAATAGAAACAATTCTTGCAGCTACTTGGAGACATGTGTTTTTTAATCATCTCCATTAAGATAATGAATCTTTCAAAAATTCATTAATGAAAGCTCTCTTTTTTGGAGAAATGTCAAAATGGAACTTTAAAGTCCGACATAAAATATTTATTTTTCAGTAAAAGTTGACCTTTCGTAACATGTCGATTTTTCAGAAATAAAATAAAAATTTAATTTCTACAATATATTTGCAATAAAATTTTCACTAAATACTCGAGTTTTCAAAAAAAAAAAGTTCTAATTTATACTTTCAAAAAAATTTTGATTTTTCACTAAAATTTGTTAATAAACTAGAACTGAACTAGAACTAGAACTGAACTAGAACTGAACTAGAACTGAACTAGAACTGAACTAGAACTGAACTAGAACTGAACTAGAACTGAACTGAACTGACTAGAACTGAACTAGAACTGAACTAGAACTGAACTAGAACTGAACTAGAACTGAACTAGAACTGACTAGAACTGAACTAGAACTGAACTAGAACTGAACTAGAACTGAACTAGAACTGAACTAGAACTGAACTAGAACTGAACTAGAACTGAAACTAGAACTGAACTAGAACTGAACTAGAACTGAACTAGAACTGAACTAGAACTGAACTAGAACTGACTAGAACTGAACTAGAACTGAACTACTAACTGAACTAGAACGAACTAGAACTGAACTAGAACTGAACTAGAACTGAACTAGAATGACTAGAACTGAACTAGAACTGAACTAGAACTGAACTAGAACTGAACTAGAACTGAACTAGAACTGAACTAGGAACTGAACTAGAACTGAACTAGAACTGAACTAGAAACTGAACTAGAACTGAACTAGAACTGAACTAGAACTGAACTAGAACTGAACTAGAACTGAACTAGAACTGAACTAGAACTGAACTAGAACTGAACTAGAACTGAACTAGAACTGAACTAGAACTGAACTAGAACTGAACTAGAACTGAACTAGAACTGAACTAGAACTGAACTAGAACTGAACTAGAACTGAACTAGAACTGAACTAGAACTGAACTAGAACTGAACTAGAACTGAACTAGAACTGAACTAGAACTGAACTAGAACTGAACTAGAACTGAACTAGAACTGAACTAGAACTGAACTAGAACTGAACTAGAACTGAACTAGAACTGAACTAGAACAGAACTAGAACATGAACTAGAACTGAACTAGAAACTGAACTAGAACTGAACTAGAACTGAACTAGAACTGAACTAGAACTGAACTAGAACTGAACTAGAACTGAACTAGAACTGAACTAGAACTGAACTAGAACTGAACTGAACTAGAACTGAACTAGAACTGAACTAGAACTGAACTAGAACTGAACTAGAACTGAACTAGAACTAGAACTGAACTAGAACTGAACTAGAACTGAACATTTGAATGCTGTATGTATTTGAGATACAAACCAAAATTGAAAAATTCATTTTTAAAAGTAGTTTCCAAAGCCAAAAAAATTTAATGATACATAAAATAAAAACACAATCATTTCTCTAAAATAAATTTCTAAATAAAAAGCACCGGAAAGGATTAAAAGCATACATCAGCATTTACAAAAAGGAGGGGAAATTAACTATATATAAAAAAACAGTAAATAAACAAAATAAAGAGAACTATATACATATTTAAAAAATAAAATCAAAAGTTTATTTCAAAAGATGCTAAAATTAAAAATAAAAGTAAGAATAATAATATTTTTTTTGTTGTAAAGAACAATACAGTAGTAAATAAAAGGAATTTTGGAAATAATAGATGTCTTGGTTGTAAATTTTATAAACATAATACAAATTAACAATTAACAAAAGAGGAGAAAAATAGTAAATAGTTTTGAAAACAAACTAAATTACATTCTGGGGACATTTAACAAAAAAAAAAAAAAGGAAAGAAAAATTTATATAAGTAAAATGCAAATAAAACAAGTTTTTGTTTTAATTAAAATACACACTAAAATTAAATAATATTGCACTTAAAATTACAGTAATAATAGAAGTAATTATTTATGTATGTATAAAAATAAAACGGAAATATTTATTATGACAGACAACACAGCATTTAAAAGAACCTATTTATGATAGATTTATATTTTCATTTTTAACTTAATTTAATCATGTTTTTTATGCAAAAACTGGGTGTAAGATTTATTGGCTGTTTTTGTAACACTAAAGGAAATATTTTTAAAAATTTCCACCATTGTTTGTTATTTTACAAAAACAGTTCTTTTCGTTTCAGGTTGATTATTTAACATTTAAAATGTTTTCTTTCTTTTTGTTTGATCATGGAACATTTAGAGATTTTTTTCGTTTGTATGAGAAAATTTTGTTGATTTTTTGTTTGTTTCTTTTTCATTAGATTACTCGGCCGAGATCAAGGAAAAATTTTCAAAATTTAGCTTACCTTGAACAGATTCATCATCTAAATCATCGGAGCTGCTGGTAATGCGTGCTGTAAAGGGAAGAGAAATACAAATCATAGTTTAATTAAAACTGCTCGCATAAGTGATCATGATGTTTTTTTTAGAAAACTGATTGTAATTAACACAAATGTTATTGTTAAATAAACTTATACTTATAAAAAGTATTTTTCTTTTGAGATCTCAAATAAAATTCTCACCTCTTGAACTCTTAACCGAAGAACCACTACCACCACCGCCATTACGACCATACAAGACACTCTCCAAATAAGGTAAACCATTATTATTGACAATATTCATACCCAAACACTGTTCAATTTGTTTCCATCTGTGTAAACGTTCTTGCAACTCATTCGTAACTTCTCCCAATGAATTTCGAGCCTCAACAATCGAACGATCTACATCATCGATACTTTTGCCATGAGTCGAAACGAAAGCACCCACTAAACTCGAACGTTTCTTGCGTAATTTCTCACAAGCCTCACGAGCCGATTGTAATTGTTTTTCAGCAGAAACACGTTTCTTTAAATGATTTTTACTTTCCAGTTCATAGGTGTATTGTAGCCAGGACTGTAGTTGAGGCGGTGGTGCCCAACAATTATCGACTAATTCAATTTCTGCTCTTGACAATTCAGTGCGTAACATTTCTATTTCCTTTTTAAGCTGTTGGACTTCGAGATCTGAATTTGAGGACGTTAAAGTGGGGACTTCTTTGAGACGTCTTTCCAAGTCCATTTTTTCAGTAGCAACATTCTCTTGCTCCAAACGAGCACGTTCCAATTCCTTTAAGAATTAACAAAAATTAACTAAAGCTAAGAATTATATAAAAAAAAAAATATTCTTCCTTACCTTCTGCATTTCCTGCAAACTTTGTTCAGCTCTTTGCAAACCCTCCATATCTTGAGCCATGCGTCTTAAATGTCTTTTAGCATTTTTATTTTGCTGATAAGCATACCAGCAACCAATTATAGCACTTAATAGTAAAGTTACTAAAATGTAATCTTTCCAACGCGTTCCAGTCTCTGTTAAGGAGAATCATTTTAGTTTATTTTTCTTTATAATTAAAAAAATATCGGTTTCTTACCTCTGGGTGGTCCAAATAGGACCACATCCATGGCCTTTAAGGCAATTTTTGTTTATGTATGGGATCTTTAATGCCCAAAACATTGCTGACATAATGCATATTATTAACTGCTAATCTGAAAGTGGAAATAAATAAAATTTTATATTAAAATCAATATTAATAATACCACTTGTTGTCCAGAGATTATTTTTTCATAGGACTTCGGATCGTATAATGAATAAAAATATCACTCATACAACCCGTATTCTTTGTAGTTCTAGTTCCATTCTACTTCAGTTCTAGTTCAGTTCTAGTTCAGTTCTAGTTCAGTTCTAGTTCAGTTCTAGTTCAGTTCTAGTTCAGTTCTAGTTCAGTTCTAGTTCAGTTCAGTTAGTTCAGTTCTAGTTCAGTTCTAGTTCAGTTCTAGTTCAGTTCTAGTTCAGTTCAGTTCTAGTTCAGTTCTAGTTCAGTTCTAGTTCAGTTCAGTTCTAGTTCAGTTCTAGTTCAGTTCTAGTTCAGTTCTAGTTCAGTTCTAGTTCAGTTCTAGTTCAGTTCTAGTTCAGTTCTAGTTCAGTTCTAGTTCAGTTCTAGTTCAGTTCTAGTTCAGTTCTAGTTCAGTTCTAGTTCAGTTCTAGTTCTAGTTCAGTTCTAGTTCAGTTCTAGTTCAGTTCTAGTTCAGTTCTAGTTCAGTTCTAGTTCAGTTCTAGTTCAGTTCTAGTTCAGTTCTAGTTCAGTTCTAGTTCAGTTCTAGTTCAGTTCTAGTTCAGTTCTAGTTCAGTTCTAGTTCAGTTCTAGTTCAGTTCTAGTTCAGTTCTAGTTCAGTTCTAGTTCAGTTCTAGTTCAGTTCTAGTTCAGTTCTAGTTCAGTTCTAGTTCAGTTCTAGTTCAGTTCTAGTTCAGTTCTAGTTCAGTTCTGTTCAGTTCTAGTTCAGTTCTAGTTCAGTTCTAGTTCAGTTCTAGTTCAGTTCTAGTTCAGTTCTAGTTCAGTTCTAGTTCAGTTCTAGTTCAGTTCTAGTTCAGTTCTAGTTCAGTTCTAGTTCAGTTCTAGTTCAGTTCTAGTTCAGTTCTAGTAGTTCAGTTCTAGTTCAGTTCTAGTTCAGTTCTAGTTCAGTTCTAGTTCAGTTCTAGTTCAGTTCTAGTTCAGTTCTAGTTCAGTTCTAGTTCAGTTCTAGTTCAGTTCTAGTTCAGTTCTAGTTCAGTTCTAGTTCAGTTCTAGTTCAGTTCTAGTTCAGTTCTAGTTCAGTTCTAGTTCAGTTCTAGTTCAGTTCTAGTTCAGTTCTAGTTCAGTTCTAGTTCAGTTCTAGTTCAGTTCTAGTTCAGTTCTAGTTCAGTTCTAGTTCAGTTCTAGTTCAGTTCTAGTTCAGTTCTAGTTCAGTTCTAGTTCAGTTCTAGTTCAGTTCTAGTTCAGTTCTAGTTCAGTTCTAGTTCAGTTCTAGTTCAGTTCTAGTTCAGTTCTAGTTCAGTTCTAGTTCAGTTCTAGTTCAGTTCTAGTTCAGTTCTAGTTCAGTTCTAGTTCAGTTCTAGTTCAGTTCTAGTTCAGTTCTAGTTCAGTTCTAGTTCAGTTCTAGTTCAGTTCTAGTTCAGTTCTAGTTCAGTTCTAGTTCAATTCGAGTTCAGTTCTAGTTCAGTTCTAGTTCAGTTCTAGTTCAGTTCTAGTTCAGTTCTAGTTCAGTTCTAGTTCAATTCTAGTTCAGTTCTAGTTCAGTTCTAGTTCAGTTCTAGTTCAGTTCTAGTTCAGTTCTAGTTCAGTTCTAGTTCAGTTCTAGTTCAGTTCTAGTTCAGTTCTAGTTCAGTTCTAGTTCAGTTCTAGTTCAGTTCTAGTTCAGTTCTAGTTCAGTTCTAGTTCAGTTCTAGTTCAGTTCTAGTTCAGTTCTAGTTCAGTTCTAGTTCAGTTCTAGTTCAGTTCTAGTTCAGTTCTAGTTCAGTTCTAGTTCAGTTCTAGTTCAGTTCTAGTTCAGTTCTAGTTCAGTTCTAGTTCAGTTCTAGTTCAGTTCTAGTTCAGTTCTAGTTCAGTTCTAGTTCAGTTCTTCAGTCTAGTTCAGTTCTAGTTCAGTTCTAGTTCAGTTCTAGTTCAGTTCTAGTTCAGTTCTAGTTCAGTTCTAGTTCAGTTCTAGTTCAGTTCTAGTTCAGTTCTAGTTCAGTTCTAGTTCAGTTCTAGTTCAGTTCTAGTTCAGTTCTAGTTCAGTTCTAGTTCAATTCTAGTTCAATTCTAGTTCAGTTCTAGTTCAGTTCTAGTTCAGTTCTAGTTCAGTTCTAGTTCAGTTCTAGTTCAGTTCTAGTTCAGTTCTAGTTCAGTTCTAGTTCAGTTCTAGTTCAGTTCTAGTTCAGTTCTAGTTCAGTTCTAGTTCAGTTCTAGTTCAGTTCTAGTTCAGTTCTAGTTCAGTTCTAGTTCAGTTCTAGTTCAGTTAGTTCAGTTCTAGTTCAGTTCTAGTTCAGTTCTAGTTCAGTTCTAGTTCAGTTCTAGTTCAGTTCTAGTTCAGTTCTAGTTCAGTTCTAGTTCAGTTCTAGTTCAGTTCTAGTTCAGTTCTAGTTCAGTTCTAGTTCAGTTCTAGTTCAGTTCTAGTTCAGTTCTAGTTCAGTTCTAGTTCAGTTCTAGTTCAGTTCTAGTTCAGTTCTAGTTCAGTTCTAGTTCAGTTCTAGTTTCAGTTCTAGTTCAGTTCTAGTTCAGTTCTAGTTCAGTTCAGTTCAGTTCAGTTCTAGTTCAGTTCTAGTTCAGTCTAGTTCAGTTCTAGTTCAGCTCTAGTTCAGTTCTAGTTCAGTTCTAGTTCAGTTCTAGTTCAGTTCTGGTTCAGTTCTAGTTCAGTTCTAGTTCAGTTCTAGTTCAGTTCTAGTTCAGTTCTAGTTCAGTTCTAGTTCACTTCTAGTTCACTTCTAGTTCACTTCTAGTTCAGTTCTGCTTTAGAGATACAAATTTTAAAAACCTTTATTCATACCTTGGCAAACTTGCGCCCGACACCTTGTGCTGCTTAAATAAGTCCACATATTGAGGAAGTTGTACAGATTGAGCCAACCAATCGGTGGTCTGTTCGGTAGTCCAGTTATGAACCTAGAAAAAATTAATTAATAAATTTAAAATAACAAAGATTTAAAAAATCATTAACCAACCTCTGATCTTAGCCAGGCCTCCCACAATTCTTTAACCGATATATGCATGTCATCATTGAAATGGAAAGCTTTTTGACGTTTCTCATAACCCGAATCGTATTTAAGTTCTTCGCGCAAAAACTAAATTACACACAATAAAAAATTATAAAAATAAAAGTATTTTTTACAGTTTTTTTGCATTATTAAAATAACATGCAAAACAATTGTAAAAAAAAAATTAAACAATAAATGAAAATTGTATATTAATAACAATAGAATGAAATAAAAAAATTCTAACTTACATCATCAGATTCACTTAAATCAATATTGCCATTATCGTCGTCATCTAATTGACGATGTAAACTTCTAATTGCTTCCATGCCCAAACGATCTTGATCATTATAACAATCAAGATCATCGGCATGACAAGCACCATCCGCTGAACCGCTGCCAAGAGAGCCTAAAGGGGAGTTTTGTAAAGAAAAAATTAAAAATTACTTAAAGGAAGGTGAAAGGTTAAAAATACTTACTGAATTCATTGCTAACAGCCTGAGACATGGCCTCACTTAATAGATTGTAGGTATTTTTAGGTTCAGCATGACCACTATTAGGAGCTGGATGATAAATATGCGGACTACCTATAACAGCTCCATGTGAGGGATGATGTATGCCGCTACCCACCATATTGTGTCCACCCCCACCACCACCACCATGGCCCGCATACTGATGCTGACTGTGATGTTGTTGATGATGCGGTTGTTGCTGCTGATGTGGTGGTATGTGCTGATATCTAGGATGATTGCTAGGCGTTGGCGGTTGACCACCACTGTCTACTGCACTTAGGTGGGTATTGAAACGATTACCGCCCGCTTTATTATCGCCTGGAGCGGAATTACTGTTTACTAAACATTTATGTGTAGACAAACTTAAAAGGGTAAATGTGGCTAAAACTTGAAAAAACTGCATATTGTTTTTGTTCTTGTTGTTCTTCTCTACAGCACTTAAAGGCACACAAAGAAATATTCGTTAGAAATGTAGGTTTTTGTTAAACAAATTATTGAGAGTGTGAAAGAGAGAGTGTAAAACCAAACTATGAAAGAGATTTAAAAAAAGAGGCTGAAAATAAGAAAACAAAATTAATTATTAAGTTGTTTAAGTTATAATAAGTAAAAATAAATTGACAAATGCAGGTTTGTAGTCAAGTTTTGTCACACTTTAGAAACACTTTTAAGGTTTCTTTATTACAACATTTGATTTTGATTCTTTGTGGTAATTTAATTACATTTTATTAAGTATGAGACAATAGAAAACTATAAAAATTTTACCATCTAGATAAAATTCACAAAAAAGTAGAAAACTGTCATTCGTTTTTGTTTATATGTAGGTCAAATTAATTGCTAAACCTAAGGGTCAAAAAAGCAGATTTAACAATTGATCTTTTAACAAAACGAAAAAATTAAATGTTATATAATAACGAGACTCAAATTTTATAATTATATTTTTTTTCACACTGTACATTTGTGTTTTATAAACAAAAATTTGATACTTTTTTATGGTCCTGACTCTAGAGCAGTACAGTCACGACTATAGATCAGCCTATAGTCAATACTATAGATAAGTCTATAGTCAAGACGGTTCAGTCTATAGTCAAGGCTATATATCACTCTATTGTCAAGAGTACAGATCAGTGTGGAGTCACGACTAAAGATCAGTCTATAGTCAAAACTATCAATCAGCCTGTAGTCAAGACTACAGATAAGTCTTTAGTCAATTCTACATATCAGTCAAGACTATAGATCAGTCTGCAGTCAAGACCATAGATCATTGTATAGTCATGGCTATGTATCAGTCTATACTATAGTCAAGACATAGATCAGTCTAGAGTCAATACTATAGCTCAGTCTATAGTCAAGACTATAGATCAGTCCATAGTCAAGCCTATATATATATACGTCTAGAGTCAAGACCATAAATCATTCTATAGTCATGATTATTGATCAGTCTATACTATAGACAAAACTATAGTTCAAGACTATAAATCATTCTATTGCCAAAACTATAGATCCGTCTACAGTCAAGACTATAGATCAGTCTATCACTCTATAGTCAATCATTAGAAAAATTTTTTTATTTTGAAAATGTTTAATAAATTTTCTTTTTATTTTTAAACTTTTCTCTTTAATTTGAAAATTTTTCAGAAATTTTTTCAATAAAATTTTATAATGAAATTTGAAATACATAAATTTATTTTGTTACACACTGTACAGTTTAGTATTTTAAGCGAAATTTTAATCTATAGTCAATCATTAGAAAAATTTTTTTATTTTGAAAATGTTTAATAAATTTTCTTTTTATTTTTAAACTTTTCTCTTTAATTTGAAAATTTTTCAGAAATTTTTTCAATAAAATTTTATAATGAAATTTGAAATACATAAATTTATTTTGTTACACACTGTACAGTTTAGTATTTTAAGCGAAATTTTAACAAAACAAACGATATCTATTTTATAGATATGATTGATGTGATTTTAAAACTAAATTTACACCTACAATTCGGCATCATAAAGATAAATAAATATCGACAAACTGTAAACAAAGATAAAATGGTGAAATTTCAACTCTTTTTTTTAACTATGTACATACTTGAAAATAACTAGCAAATGCTTTCGCAAAAAAATCATATGCTAATGAAATTCCCACTATTTGTTGAATACAATGGAATTTTATTCTATTAAACTCTAAAGTTTTAGCATCTTAATCACTTGTTGCTGTTGTAGCTGTTCCAATTCTACTAGAAGTAGTTAAAGTATAAATAATTTGCAAAAGTAAACAAGGCGAAAATTTACATATAACTGTAAACCACAATACTTAACATAAAAATCCATTACAATCGACTATAAAAAGTAAGAAAAGAATTTTTCTTAGATAATAGTTATAGGAAACCTTTCTATGCCTGCATGCTACCAGCACACGCTGGCTTTGTCAGGGCCTCTAACTCTATGACTTCTAACACCACAACCACCACCCACCCATTAATAAAGAATATTTATAATTAAGGTGAGTCAGTTAATAAAAGCCGAAATTATTTGTTTTAATTTGCGCGTACAGATAAAAAAGTTGTTGAAAGAGATAAATTATTATTTGAATTATAGTTAAATAAATTTTGTTTTGTGTTAATTAAATTATTTTTTTGTGCATATTTTTATACGTTTGTAAACATAACAACTAATACTGTGTTAAATATTTATAAAGCAGACAGTATGGAAGATATTAAAAAATAATAACAATGCCGGCGAATACAGTGGTGGGCAAAAATGAATATACAAACCTCTTTTTATTTATCTATCTATCTATCTATCTATCTATCTATCTATCTAATCTATCCTATCTATCTATCTATCTATCTATCTATCTATCTATCTATCTATCTATCTTATCTATCTATCTATCTAGCTATCTATCTAATCTATCTATCTATCTATCTATCTATCTATCTATCTATCTATCTATCTATCTATCTATCTATCTATCTATCTATTCATCTATCTATCTATCTATCTATCTATCTATCTATCTATCTATCTATCTATCTATCTATCTATCTATCTATCTAGCTATCTATCTATCTATCCTATCTATCTTATCTATCTATCTATCTATCTATCTATCTATCTATCTATCTATCTATCTATTTATATATCTATATCTATCTATCTATCCTATCTATCTATCTATCTATCTATCTATCTATATATTATCTAATCCTATCTATCTATCTATCTATCTATCTATCTATCTATCTATCTATCTATCTATCTATCTATCTATCTATCTATCTATCTATCTATCTATCTTATCTATCTATCTATCTATCTATCTATCTATCGACACATTGAAAAAATAGTCCCACAATTTTGCTCCACACTGTAGATGCTTTTTAGTTTGAGTTTGTGTTGTGTGCAAAGACAAGTATTAAAACTTAAAAAAAGCACTTTTTTCTGAAGGTTTACGTTCAATGGCTGGAAAGAGAACATAACACCAAGATACACGCAGTTACTCACATAAACTTGTTTATGTTTAATATATTTTTTATTATTTTTTCGGGTCCCAATATTCTAAAAACAAAAATAACACTTATAATAAAATGAATGTTTGTTTTGCATGTTTTTTGTCTGATCTCTAAACGAATACTTGAACTTGATAGAAGTTTATTTGAAAAAAAAAAAAACGACAACAAAAATAATGACCAGCTACATTGTATGACACACCATTCGAAAGTGAATCAATGTAAAAATAGAGAGACAAATTTAGTAAAAAAAAAGTAATTAATTATAAAAAATATTAAAAAAAAGAAGAAACAAAATAACAACAATAATTAAAAATATTGTATAAGTGATAGGAAAATTTATGGAAATAAAATGAAATAATTTGTTTGTAGATAAATAATTAAATATTTTTATCTTTTACAACAACGAGTTTGGGATAAACTGACAGGACTTAAATATCATAAACACGACAATGTTTGAGATACAATGTTTATTTAAATGAAAAAAAAAAAATAAAAAAGAGATAAATTTGGTAATTTTTTGCAAATTCTGCTGATCTACCTATAGTCAAGACTATAGATCGGTTTGCAGTCAAGACTATAGATCAGTCTATGGTCATGATCATAGTTTATAGATCAATCTAAAGCCAAAAGAAATAGAGTACTGAAAGATGCAACGATTCTAGTAATGTTAAGAGATCATTTGAAATACTCTTTAAAATACGCTTTAGATCATTTTTTATATCATCTAGACAAACAACTAAACAAATAAATTTAAAAATGTTCAAATTATTAATATTATTTATTTGTCTTGCCTGCCTTTCAATATTTATCATTATGTTCGATGAACTTTTGTCATTTCTGATGACACTTTCATTGTGCCAAACACACTCTCCTCTAGTTTAAAAAGTAAGATTCTTTATCAGCAGTGGTATACAAAAAAAACCAGAAACGTATTTAACAAATTTAGATCATAGTCGTGAGAGTAATGTTTACTTTTTTTTAGAAAAAAGTTTCCAAATTAAAAATAATGAATAATTTTAAATACAACAAATAAAATCTTAAGTTTATTTAAACAACTGCTTGCAAAATAGCTAAATTGTATCATTGTTTACTCTTTTTCTACTATAAAGGAAAGTAAGTGGTAGAAAATACTTTTCCATAAATGGTTTATTGTTGCTATAATATTATTATGCCACAAAATAGACATCAACTTGTGTAAACAATAAAATATTATTAATTTTTTTATAATTTGTTAAGAAAATTGCAAAACTTTGTATATTTCTAGATATTTTTGTAAGTTACTGCTCGATAAACTGTATGTATATAATGTTATAAAATAAAATAATAAAAAGAAGCTTTAAATAAACTTTTAGTAATGAAAATATGGCGGAATTATGTTTATTTAATTATTATCTTTTCTATTTTCTATAAAAAAAAATATATATTTATATTTTTAACCTTAAAAGGAAACGTGTATTAAGTGATTCACTTATGTGGTTAAGTGATTAAAGGAATTTAGTTTTATTGAAATAAGAATTATCTTAGAAATTATCTTAATTCTGAAAAAAAAATCGATATCATATTATAGTGACAAAATATCTTGTCGCTGAAGCAAAATAAATATTTGACTATTCGCGATATTACTACAACATTATTCAAAGAAATTTGCATTATGTAGTTCCCCTTAATGTTTAACAAAATAAATCTATCCTAATAAAAGTAATTTTCCATTATGCTTAACATCAAATAAACAAAACAGTTCTTTTCTATTAAATTATTTATTTGAAAACAAAATAATTTACAAATCACTAATAGAAGATAGAAGCAACTTTAATTGCTCAATCATTATTTAAATTATAATTCTAACCACGTAACTATAAACAATATAATTTATATATTTCTTACAAAATTCAAATTCAACTTTAAATAATTGTTTAACAACTTGAAAAAAAAAAAAGTAAAAATATTTATATAAATAAATAGCTGAGCGCGACCCACGTTATCGGCCCTAAATTTGGTATATATTGCAATTTTATTAAAAATTTTAAAGTTTGCGGCTCCGATGCTATCTATGGGACAAACAGGAATACTTCTTACGATTCCCGAAACATATGTATGTATGTTTGAAAATACGTGTCATTGAGAAGTTACTGAGTTTATCGATTGCGAACAGATATAGATAGATATATAGATAGATAGATAGATAGATAGATAGATAGATAGATAGATAGATAGATAGATAGATAGATAGATAGATAGATAGATAGATAATCGATAATCCGCTCGCTCTCTCGATCGCTCGCTCGCTCGCTCTCTCGCTCGCTCGCTCGATAGCTCGCTCGCTCGCTCGCTCGCTCGCTCGATCGCTCGCTCGCTCGCTCGCTCTCGCTCGCTCGCTCGCTCTCGCTCGCTCGCTCGCTCGCTCGCTCGCTCTCTCGCTCGCTCGCTCGCTCGCTCGCTCGCTCGCTCGCTCGCTCGCTCGCTCGCTCTCGCTAGCTCTCCTCGCTCGCTCGCTCGCTCGCTCGCTCGCTCGCTCGCTCGCTCGCTCGCTCGCTCGCTCGCTCTCTCGCTCGCTCGCTCGCTCGCTCGCTCGCTCGCTCTCGCTCGCTCGCTCGCTCGCTCGCTCGCTCGCTCGCTCGCTCGCTCCGCTCGCTCGCTCGCTCGCTCGCTCTCGCTCGCTCGCTCGCTCGCTCGCTCGCTCGCTCGCTCGCTCGCTCGCTCGCTCGCTCGCTGCTCGCTCGCTCGCTCGCTCGCTCGCTCGCTCGCTCGCTCGCTCCTCGCTCGCTCGCTAGCTCGCTCGATCGCTCGCTCGCTCGCTCGCTCGCTAGTAGATAGATAGATAGATAGATAGATAGATAGATAGATAGATAGATAGATAGATAGATAGATAGAACTTCAATAGTTTTCCAGTCCGAAATATTTCAACGTAACTTTGAGAATACTGATCAAGACAAACACTTAATAAGAATGTTATAGGTATTTAACAATGTCAAATTTTATATACCCACAGAGATCTTCTAAAAATCTAATAAGAAAGCAGAAAACATTAACATTTGAGGGTCTACATTCGATATTTTTAGGTTTTACAAACAAAATTACAAAATTAGTAACTAAACGCATCTTTTTTGATAATGAGTTTAAAACATTCATAAAAAAATTAATTATACAAATTTATATCTAACCATAATCACCAAACCTTTATACTACATACCTATAATTTAACAACTATACATATAAACAATTAAAGCAACATGTCTGTATAGGTTTATTTAAAATTTTATTAAAATATAGTGGAACAAATATTTAAATAAAACGTAATAGTTGTTAGTTACAAAAGTAATAATAAGAAACGAAGTAATAACTGTAAACTAATAATATTTCTAAGCTCTCTCTATATCGGCATATTTTCCTATTAAAAAGTAAAAAAAGGTTTATTTATAACAATAACAATGTCAATTACAACAAAGCCCTATAAACAATTAATTGAGGGTCGATCATGTGGGGATCAGACAAACAAAAAACACAAATACTCGCTTACCTATTAAATGTATGCACACACACATTCTTATAAGTACTTTTATATACAACAAAAACAGTTAATAATTTTTAATCAATTCAAATTGTTCGTGTTTGTTTTTTTTTTTTCAAATCAGGAAAAAAATAAAAATTTTTTAGAAGCTGTTATTTTAGCTTTTTCGTTTCGTTTTGTTTCCAGTAATTCATTACCAAAGCAAAAGCAAAAACAACAACAGCAACTCACGAAAATGACAACCATATAAAGTTAAACGAGAAAAAGCAACAAAAAATAACATCACACACTTTACAACAAACACAATGAGTTTGTGACACATACACAATCTTATTGACAAACATACCCCGCAAAACAAGAGAATGAACGATTTCTGACTACTTAAAGCAACAACAAACAAACTAACAAAACAACAAGCTGTTGTGTTTTTGTATGTTGTTGTAGTTTTGTTTTGTTTGTGCAAAAAATTTCTAATCTAGGTGAATCTGTCTGTTAATTTATTTATTATTATTTTTTCTATGATGCGCACTTTTTCCAACAACAATTTTACACAAAGTATCACTTGTTTTAACTTAGCTTTCCTTAGAAATTGTTTTAATTATTTTTACAACAATTTGTTGTTTATTAACTAATTTTACATACAATTACATTATTGCTGTTGTATTTTGTGTAATTTATATTATTATTAGCTCTATTTTATTGCCATTATTTTGTTATACAAGCTGACTGTGGTTTGCTTTTCATATTATTTTTGCTTTACACTTTTTTATTTGCAAAAACTTTTTCTATTTTTTTATTCATTCTTCACACCATGACTATACCTTCATTTGATTTGCATTCACAAATTTATTTTCTATTTCTACATTTTTTCACTATTAACTTACAATTTTTTAACACTTTTATTAATAAAACATTATATTTGAAGGTTGTTTAACTCGTTGTTTATGAAATTTATGGAAAATTTCTTGTTTTTGGGTCTTAAAAATTGTTGTTAAAAAATGTTAAATCGTTTTCTAGTTAAAAAAAATTAACAAAAAATTAATCCGTGCCAACAACTACGATTGAATGAAAAATACAAATGTCAAATTTAGCAAGAACAATGTTGACAACTGGTTTGTGTTTTTCGTATTCTCTTTTCCGCACAGAGTTGTATGCTGTGGTAGTAGTGAGAAATACTGTGCGTTGCGTTAAAGTGTATTTAAATACACTTGGGGAAAAATTATAAGAAAATAAAATATTTTAATAGCAAGATGAAAATGTATGAGGATTTCACAATTAGGTTTTGGGTATTTTTTTGAAAAGGGTAACTTAATTAAATAATTTATTAATTAGATCTTTTTATTGATTTGATAGAAAATTTTCCAAAAACTCATATAGCAACTGAAAAACTCAACTTATCGCCTTATTTAAATGAAGACAGTTATTAAACATTAATTTAGGTTTGATTAAAAAACTAAATAACATCACAGTGACGGTGCCCACTGTAAAATTCAGATTGAAAATTGATATTGACTTTTGTTGCTTAATTAGCTATTAAATAAAGTTCCGATAGGACTTTCTTTTAGGGCCTAGGTAAAACCATGGACCTATTTCAATTAAAATTGAGTTGCTTCTTGCAACAAAAAAACTAACATGACTTCGTCATGTTAGTTTTCGTAGTTACGAATTTTATCTTAAAACTGTATTACTTTAAGACTTTTTTATAATTAATAAAATAAAAGTAAAAAACCCGATTTTAATTAAAATCTTTTTTATTTTCCATTTTCTATTAACCATTGATTGTAAGCAAATATTTGTCTCTATTGTATTTAATATAAATTCTAACAGATTTTAATCTTACAATCACATTAAACCTATACGATGCTTTTAAATAGTTTGAAAAATTTAAATTTTAATTAATGTTTCCGTTACGTAATAAATTTTCAAAGACATTCAATCATACCCCCAAAGGTATAGCTAACCCTCAATTTTTTTCCACTCTCTTTATCCTTTTTATTATTATTGTCTCTCTTGTCTTAGAAACTCAATCACAAACATAACGGTAATAACAAAAGAAAACCTTCAAATTATTATAATAATAATAAAAAAAGTGTTGCCAGGTTTTTTGTAAGGAATAAAAACAAAACTGAAATCATAACAGAGATAAAAAAATCACGTTACCATCATTAAAAAATCCTTTGGCATGTGCTCTCTCCCACACTATTTATGTTTTGTTTACATACAAATTGCGAGAAAGAGCAAGAGGAAAACAAAATGGTAATAATATAACGGTAACAGAGCAACAGCAACAAGAATTATAATAACAACAAAAATAATGTTGGGTGACATTTAGCCAACTCTCACTTTCTTGCTTGCTTTCAATCAACCACTATTTCAACTCGATTCTTTTCTCTTGGCAAAAATAATCAACTTCCTTATTTTTTGCTATTTGATTTTTTACATTCCTTTTTGCAGACGTTAATTTAGTTTTGGTTACAATACTAATAAACAGTATATAACGGGATTTTCAACGGAATGCACACAGCAAGAAAGTGCTAACGGATGTGGCCAAGTAGGTTATGTTTTGGAGCAAAAAAAGGAAAAACCTTAAAAAGTAGCAAAACCATTTGTTTTTTTGTTTTTTGAGATATGACTATAAAAATTCAAAAGAAAGTGAAAATCAATTTTAAATGTTTAATTTAAAGAAAAGTCTTAAAACTTTTGACTTTTTAACTTAAAAATTTGTTATGTCTATTAAACTTAAGAAAATTTAGCTGTTGATAAAGTGACCTGGTTAAAGTTTCTATTGTATTTTATTGGATTTTTTCATTAAGTTATCAAGAAAAAGTCATGTTTAAAAGAAACCCAAGTGATTTCTTGTATAATATTCCTTTACAACAACGCAAGTGGTAGAAAAAAATAAAAATTTTTGATGATGATGTGAATTACAAACAGTGTATTAAAAAACTGCATATTCAATAGTTTAACAAGAAAAAAAAAAATAATAAAAAATGTGGGGGCTTTTTTAAATGTTTGCACTATATGGCAAAATTGCAATGGGTATGAGTTTTAACCCCCCAAAGTGTGTCAAAGTTCTAATAACAGTCAATGCTCTACTTAGTGTTTGTGTGCAAAAACTAAAATAATATTTTTCGTTTTTTTTTATACCCTACAACATGGTACACCAGTTTATAGTCTCGACTATAGGCCAGTCTAAATTCTTTACTTTAAATCAGTCTATATCCAAATCCATACTCCAGTCCATTCATACCAGTCTATTGTTCTGACTATAGACTAGTATAATGTCTTTACCATAAACCACTCATGACTGTAGAACAGTCAACATTTTTTGACTACAGACCACTTTATAGTATTGACAAAAGACCAGTCTATAGTATTATCTTGACTAGAGAACAATCTATAGTCTTGACTATAGACGTAACATTAACCTTGATTAAAAGTGTATTGTCTGGACTATAGAACAGTCTATAGTCGTGACTTTAGACGAGTCCATAGTCTTGACTATAGACCTAATATTCAAACTGTACCCACCGTTTTAGCATATAATCATGTCGTTCATATAGACCAATCTATAGGTCTGACTTTAGACCAGTATATAGTCTTGACTATAGATCAGTCTGTAGCCTTTAATCTTGACTAAAGTTCTAGCATTTTGGACCCTCCGTTTTAGCATATACTAATGTCGGACATGCCCCAAGTATATGTTTTACTTGATTTTTTTTTCACTATTTAGAATACAACTTTCTCATTCACAAAGAACCAGCGACTGTGTGTAGTGTCCGACCAAGCATACACTTATTTAAATGTTAGATACCATGTACTCCATAGGACACTGACACACTATTGTAGGTACACACAATACGAACAAACATACAAGTGTATATGAATGTACATAGTTCATAACTACTCGAGAGATGTTCATGTCCCCATAATTAACTATAATGTACACTGTTTCCTTGTATACACCAAAAAAAAAAAAAGAAATGATAAATTGAATTGACTGGCTCCATGTTGGTATGACCCAGTTTGGGGTTTACCATAAATTTGGCTAATTTGTTAGTTGGTATATAGGGTTTAAAGTGAAGTTTTCCTTATTTACAAGTTTGTTATTGTCAATGCTTTTTTGTTTACTTTTTAGTAAAGTTTTCAAAAAAAAGTTTAGTCCTTCGAACTTGTGGCTTTTGTAACTTATGAAGAAGTTCTTTTGTGGTATTATTAATTAATTGTTTGTCTTTGAAAGTTTTAATATACATTAAAAAATAAAGTAAAAGTGTTTACTTTACGAAATTATCAGTGTAATTTTTTTAATTCAACATCCCGATCAAAGTTAGAATTAGACCGTGTAAAATCCAAAAATATCAGTGAAAGTTTTCACTTTTCCAAATATAAATAAAAAAACGCGTTTGCTTTGGGTTATATACATAGAAAGATATGTACATTCAAAGCAACTGGTCTGGTCGTTCTGTACGGATTAATTTCCTATAGTATACCCTATAACAAATTCATGCATTGTGTGAATCATTTCAGAATGAGACCCAACGAAACAATATGTTGTTGACTAGATAGTTCCTATTGCATATCGGATAACAAATTCATGTATTCTGTGAATCATTTCAGAATGAGACCCAACAACAGAATATGTTGTTGACTAGAAAGTTCCTATTGGTTTTTCGACCTGTTCGATATATTCGGAGGCTTCCGTACCAACGTCCAGATGGTCATCCTATTAGACGTCGACCGACTGTCCTTGGAAAACTTTACATATGTATCTCTGTAAACATTATGGTTCAAAATGCAACCGAGATGTCTAAACGAAGATGAATGACATAGAATGATTCGTTAATATGAAGATCATTTAATATATGTACATATATTGGAAATCGTGTGCCTATGCTCGGCAGACGATAATTGCAAAGTATACCATTTTTTGTTTGCAAATGATTAAGTACCACCCTTTTTTCAACTATATTTATTATAGTAATTATAAGTTTTTTTTTTTCATTTGTGCACATAATAAATTGGAAACAAAAATACATGATTTTTTTTTTTTTTTTTTTGTAAAAGAAGACCCAATCAACAATTTTCAAAAGCCCACACTTATATACATACATACTTGCAAACAATTTATATTATTTACATCATCCACATGGATGATGTGCTCAAGAACAAAAGTGTGTTCACAGACACACTCAATTGAATCTTATAGATACAATTTACAGTTTCCAATATATGTACATAAATCCTATAAAACCAAAAACAACAAAAATGAAATAAGTTTCAAGTATAGAAATGGTTTAGATCACATTTCAGATACAATTGGGATCTGTCAGCCTTTCAAACTGATCCATCCAGCAACAATTATAGATACTTATATACATACATAACATTTTGTTTATACCATATGTCCAACCAAATGCTTAAGATTTTTTTGTAATATTTATTTTCATTTCCACTTGAAATTGGATACTACATAAAAGCAACATTGGTCGAGGAAAAAATCTGAACAAATAGATACAATTTACCTTAATAACAATGCAATGTATGTATGTTAGTTTGTTTTAATACCCAAAAGATACATTTGTATCTAAAAGTGTGATAATTTAATTTATAATTTAGAAAAAAAAGTTTTTTATAGGATTTTATGGGTCAAATGCTTTTACAACTCATTATTTCAATACGATGTCATTTACATTTGTAGTTAAAGGCGAAACATTTGAAGTCTTTGTAAGAATAATTAAAAAATAAAATATTGATTGCAAAATTTTATAAATTACACTGTGTGATAGTAAAAAAATTACTCAAACAAGTAAGGTAATAGATCTAATTGAGTACCATTTTTAGTAAACCCCAAAAATCTGGAGTTAATCCCAAAAAATCTTAATTTTAATCTTAAATTATTTACAGCCAAACTATCGTTTCAGTTAATTAATTTTATTTTATTCTTTAGAAAAGCATGATAGACATGATTTTCATGATCTTACACTGGAAGTACATTAAAAATGGACGAATCACCCATAACACTGACCAGCATTATATTGATAGCAGTTTTTCTTATAATACTTGGCATGATATTGTATCGTTATTTTGGAAATCGAGAAACATTTTGGTCACGTTCTTATAAAGAGGAAAAAATTGGACTATCCGCTCATAAACTTTTCAAGCCTAATGGGTATATGGTGAGTATTTCAGTAGTATGGGGTATTCCATTAAGTTGATAACTTTAAACTTTCGCTGTAAACTATTCTATTCGAAAAATGGTTCTGTCCAATTGGCTCTTGGCCAATAAGCTGGACCTATTTATAATACTGAAGGAGATATACATATCTGCTGTCTTCCTCGAAAAGTGCGGCCAAGTAATTGAGAAATACGTTTAGCGAATCTATAGGTTTTGGGCCTTATCTGTGTATAATATCTAGCCAATAAGACCATTTTCGAGATATTTATCTCAAACTGTTTTGCATTATAATTAAAATCTGAATTATCCTTTATACCTAATAAGCCCAAATAATTAATCTATTCTTTAACTTCTTACAGATTCATTCTGGTTCCGAACTATTACTCAGTTCTAGTGGTAGCTTTAAACGTTTCGATACGGTAGACAAAGAAAGTTGTAAAAATAGCCAAAACTCTCCCAAACACGCAACAACGCCATTGTGGAATTTATCACAAAACGAAAGTGAAATACCACCGCAACCCTTAAGACCGGCACCAGCTCCCAGCTCATCACAAACGGCAGGCAGTGTGGGACATACCAAAATTGTTACCTTTTCGGTGAATCTTGAAAACGAAAGCCCATTCGTTAGTCAGCACAACAGCAGGGAAAACGGCGATATGTTTAGATCGGGAATATTACAATCGAATTTAAAACGACCGGTTGATATACCAGTCCTAGAAGCACCGCCTCAAACGAAACTAACAAATAATATAGTGGCCTCACAAACAGCCACCGCAATACCACGTCCTGTGGTTAAGAAATCACCTCAACAAAATGGCTTTTATAAGGAAGACAATCCCCAGCAGCTGTTGTCGGGTTCCAGCGACAGTGACCCAGATCAGTTGCAACGTGCAAATAACACAAATCCTTTTCTAGAAAATTTACCTAAAACACAACCTAACAGCACTGCCTTAAAAACAAACAACCAAACAACGACCAATGAGCCTGCAATAACAATTGCAAATCCTTTTGTGGAAACCCATAATATAAACGATGTCACTTCGTCGAATATCGAAGATCATTTCGCGGAGAAGGGCCTTGGTTTGCCTAGATCATTTAGGAATCGTTCATATTCCGAAACTGTAGCTGACGATAAAGAGGAATCGGCTACAATTTCTTTGCGTAATATCACAAATGCTTTCCATACCAGCCCCAATACTACACCCAATCCGGGTAATCCTTTTTCTCATGTGGCTCGCAAAATTAAGGGACCACACATGCTGCAGAAAACAATTTCAGAAGATTTTCTATTTCGCAAGTTGGGCTCGGCTCCAAATGCCAATGGTGTTATTAATGGCAACAATGGCAATAATACCTGGAGTTTTGGTCGTCTTCTAATGCAAGAGGATGCTTCGTTTAATCTGTGGCGTCGCAACAGTTCACAAACCTCTTTGGATTCGGGCAGCATGGCTTCGTTGGATGGTGTTAATTTGGAGCGTGCCATATCCTGTGATTCAGTCGATTCGGATTTATCGACTACGGGTTTTACTAGTGATTTTGATCAGTCTACTTATACACAAATAACGGGGTATTTGTGCGTGGGTTTGCATTATGATAAGTGAGTTGGAGTGTAAATTTTCTTAGTTATTCTTAAAATTTTTAATTTTATGGTGATTTTTTCTAGGAATTCCATAACGGAAGAAGGCATGGATTTACAAGTGAGTGTTTTGGAAGCTAAAGGTTTGGTTTTACCCTTTAAAGTGGATTCACTGGATACTTTTGTGCGCATCTATTTAGTACCAGATCAAGCGGGAGCTTTGCAAACTAAGGTTAGTATATTTCTGTTTCCGTTTGTAATCGGACTTCTCTAATGTTTATTATGACCACAAATGAAACTTTATACGTCTGCCTTAATAAAATTTTATAATTTGGCCGATCTACACTTGAACTGTTCATCTGTCATAGCCGATATATACTTTTTCAACACATACAATTCTTATTCGCCGGAGTTTCCGCTATTTTTGTTCGAAAGACTACACGATATTAAATTATTACTTTCTAAATAATTGTCATTAAATACCGTTTAAACTCGTCTTGCAAGGTCGTCCGCAAATGTTGTCCCAACAGAAGCTTATCCAATTTGATTTACCTCCAATTTAGACTAACAAACTACTTATGACTGCTAAAAATTAACACAATTACATATTTCTTTCCTTTCCCAAGATTGTTAAAGATTCTCCAACACCCACATATAATGAAACCCTCAACTTCTGGTTGACTCGACAACAAACACGTCATTCTTTATGGTTTCATTTGTATCACAATGGATCAGCTCACACATTAATCGGTAACTACAAACGTAAAACCCTAAAATTAAAAACAAATTTAACGCTCATTTCCTCTTACAATCGTACAAAAACTTTAGGTGAAGCTGAAATGGAAATTGGGGAAATGCCTAAGCCGATTACCACATGGATACCCCTAACCGATTCGCGTAAATGCAATGCCAAATGGGGCGAACTAATGTTTTCTCTTAGTTATTTGCCGACGGCCGAACGTCTAACGATTGTTGTGGTCAAAGCGCGTAATATACAACTACAAGTGCCAAGCAAGGGAGATCCCAATAAATTACAGGATATACAAAATGTATTTGTCAAGGTAAGTGTCGCTTCCACCTACTCCTCAACTTAACTAATCACATTAGTCATACGCATCTTATCACTTGTCATAACTTAACCTACCATTCATTCAATTTGTATCTTATTGTAGGTTTATTTAATGAATAACGAAAAGAAAGTTCTCAAGAAACGTACTTCATTGAAACGCAAAGATCGTTGTCCGGTCTTCAATGAATCCGTGATATTTAGTTTACCGCCACAAAGTCTAACAACGACACAATTACGCCTTACGGTATTTGGTGTAATTGATGAGACTACGGTCACGCCACTTGGTCATGTTGTAGCAGGTAGTTGTGCTACCGGCAAGGGTTTACGTCATTGGCATCAAATGCTTTCATCTTTACGCAAACCGGTTGCAATGTGGCATGTTTTGAGGCGTGTCACAAATCAACCGGTATTTACTGGCGGTGCAGATGCAGTTGTAGCCGCTATGCAAACTACAGCTCAACGTGCCAAGCGGAATAGTGTATTCTAAGAAGGACAAATAAATACAAACACCCATAATATAGCATGAGTACCATCATCATTATCATCATTTCGCTGGTATATATTTGAAATGAATTTAACACATAATTCCTGCATAACAATCCTTTGTTGAAAATGAATGAATTGAGTAAGTAAGTAAAATATTTGAAATATGAATTCGGTATTTAGTCTGAATTTTTTGTATACTTATCAGTGGTATTTTTGTGATTTTTTTTTGGGGGGGGAGGGAAAAATAAGGAATTGAGAAGTTGTTGTATAAGTACAGTATCTTAAGTAGTTATCTCAATTTGTTTAGGGTAGTGTTTGTTTTTGTGGATTTTTTGATTTATTACGATAAAGACTTTTTAACATTAGCCGAACAATTTATTTTCTTTTGAAATAAATAAATTTAAATTGATTGGATCATGAACTTTGCCTTCCATAGATCTGGAAGTCTATTCTGTATAATCTTTCAGTAAATAAGAAACTTATCTACTGTCATGTTCCTACTTGATCTTTCTAATATTCTTCCAAAATTAAATTAGTGTATTACAGATGAGATTGTTCTATATGAGATCGAAAATCTTTACGATCACCAGAATTTTTACTGGTTCTACTTATATTTGAATGTCTCAAAGATGTTCTACTATCTATAGTGTACAATCTGAACCACAAACTCGCCCAGTGTAATAAGCTTACTCATTTCAATTTCATAATGTTCCTTCAACCTATTCAGAAATGTTGAACATTAGTTTATCGCTGACAACAGTCTTTCTTAGTCGGGACCTATTTTCATCTATGGGGTGTTGTCAGTTAATATCGTTTGAACATAAAGAACTTTAATAGCTGCTATAACTTTTATAGCAGATTAAAACCATACAAGGTCTTAAATCTTCAAAATTGTAAGAAGTATAGCAGGAAATCTTAAAGATGTCCTAATATCCGTCATCACAAGAACATAATTTCTCTTGCCTCTTCTTAGTGTAATCTCGAGAGTGTCTTTTTCAGTCATTTCTCTTTGTATTATATATTTTTATTTGTATCATTCATTGATCTTATAATATCCTCATTATAGGCTTTAAATTTGGAGCAAGAGCTCTATTCGACGTTCATCTTTAATTTGATCTACATGATTCCTTGAAGTCATAAGATCTAAAAATCAAGAGATTTGTTATTAAAAAATTTGCCTTGATCTAGAATATTAAAATCAGGGAGTCTATTAGGTTCCTATAGCTTTCTGCTGTTTTAAGAATTTTAACCTTTGAAGTCCATTGAGTACAAAGATTTTTTACTCAAACATTTGGATTGATCTGCAACAAGGAGTTCTAGCAAGTGTCTATATCCATTATATCAGTTTTTTATAGTTCCGTAATTATTCGATCGAGAAAGTTTCTACAGAATAATAAAATTTTAGTTTTCTCACTAAGAGTGAGATTTGGCATGACATAATGAAGTTAGGTTAAAATGAGATTTTCAGATTGAAGAAATATTTGTAGGCCATAATTTGGCCTATAGAGCACTCCTTTAAGTGGAAAATGTTGCTGGAAAACCTCTTTACGGAGAGATATTACATACCTATATCTATAATAACATTGCTCCTACGATATTTTAATCTGATTTCGATGAAAGTTTGAAATGACCAGGACAAATTTTACATTTACATTTTCTATTTTTGTAGTTTCAAAATTTCAATGATTTTCGTAAAGATATATAGGCAAAATTCTTTTTGATTTTTTATTAAAAAGTTAATAAATTAATTTGTATGTATATAAAATAATGTGCTAATTATTAGACCAAAACTGTAGATAAAACAATCAGTATTAAATAAATATTTAGCATAAATATATTATCACCAATAACACTGATAAATATACAACAAAAAAGTATGAAAACGAGTTCCCATTTAAACTAATTATAATTAAAATGATCCAAGTACAATTTTTGAATCCTTAAACGATTTCACCTTAAACCTAAAACAAAAAAAGTTATAAAACAAATTTCCTGTACATACACCCAATCAATATAATAGTAAATTCACCTTCATATTTAAAAGATCAAATCAATAATATTTACAAATTTTATACTTTTTATTAAAGAATACATATAATTAATAATAAAATAAAACAAATAAAACCCAAACTTTGTATTTAGCTTAATCGTCCCTCTTAGTTATAAACTATAAACTCAAATGTTGGTTTGTTTTTTTTTTATATTTATAAAAAAGAATAGTAAATAATTAAATTAATTTTCATATACAATTTGTAGCAAAATTTTTGACCAAAAAAAAAAAAAAAACCAAAAGTTAAACCTAAAAATACCTAAAATAATATTTTATACAAATAAAACGTATAAAGAAATTTAAACTAAATTAACTAAATGTTGTTGAGAGTATTTAATACATGTTGATATATAATAAAAACTAATTCAAAACCAAAATAAATAAATATTTATAGATATTTAATCATAATTAAAAAATGATATACAAAACATACTTACAAAATATTATATATCTATATCTACTACTTATATTTAATCTAAAAACAAATTACCAACTGTGAAGAAAATTAAAAAAAAAAGAATTACTTAAAATCTAAATATTTATAAAAGATTAATTTGTTAAAAATTGTAAAATAAGGAATTTGTTAAAAGAGTGTATAGTGATTCCAGTAGTTGTTAAAAAAAACTTCATTACATATTTCCGGACTCATTTTAAATGATTCAAAATGTACCAATTGTAAATGATTCAAAATGTACCAGTTGATGAAGAAACAAAAAATTCACTTTTATAGATTTTCATTCCATCAGAATCCTATATGTCTGATTTTACATATTCTAAGTTTCTAAGTTCAATATTGCAGAAAACTCAAAAAGTACCACTTGAAGAACGAAAAAGTATCAAAAATCCTTTCCTATAGATATTCATTCACTTAGGACTCGGAATGTTTAATTTTATAGGATCAATATTATGGAAAATTCAAAAAGTACTTTTTGACGAACAAAAAAAGTACCAAAAAGTCTTTCTTATATGTTCTCATTTACTCCAAACTCTACATGCTTAATTTATTTTTTTAGGTTCAATATTATCAAAAACTCAAAAAGTACCGGTTGAAGAATGAAAAATAATCAGAAATCCTTTCCTCCAAATTTTCATTTACTCAGGACTCTGAGTGTTTAATTAATTTTAGAGAAAATTCAAAAAGTACCTTTTGAAGAACGAAAAAATTTTGGAATTTTTCACATTTTTAATTTTTTCCCATCCCTGCTTCATTTTCCATACACACTTTTCCTTCTCTGATTTTGGCAATATATTGCCAAACTATAACCAACACAGCTTCATTCAGAAGTTGTCTCGGATTTTAGTTCATATCTCCATTATTTCTGGACCGATTAAATAGAGATCTTCTCGAAACCATGTCTGAAAGAATTATTGAAGATTTGAATGCCGAAGATATCTGAGATCTTCAGAAAGTTGATTTTAACAAACATATAGACGGACAGACAGACGGATCCAAAATATATTAACAAGGTGAATGGGTATATAACTTTTTCACATTATCTGCTTTTGGAAAAGATTTTAAAGAAATCATTATTTGCCAATATTAAAAAAAAATATTAAATTCCAATTGAAAACTACACTGCCCTTATTTTTTATAAAAAAATTTAAATAAAAGATTTCATGTTATTTAAAATTTATATTAAAAGCATTTAAATTCAAAACAATTTACAGCCATTTTGTATTTTACAGCAAAGTTATTCCAAATATTCGCATATAATTAAATTTAAGAAGTTGTGATATAATATTCCATTTGAAAACTACACTGCCTTTAATTTTTTTTACATCCTCAAATAGATTTCAATGAAATCAAAATTCAAAATTATTTTCCCTACATTCTGAACTTTATAAGAAAGTCAAAAAGCAAAATCTTAAAAAAAATTGGTTCAATTGGTCCACTTATCAGCAATGCATTCACATATTAGTAAACTTTCATAGACCTGAAATTGTCTTTAGGTAATTTTATCGGCAGAACAGATAACCGATGTTTGAAATTATGGACCTTAAACAGAGAAAATATGAAAAAGGATACTAATAATATGTTTCAAAAGATCTTAAAATATTCGTTTAGAATGGAAAGGTTCATAAATTTATGTTTATAATTAGATAATGCAATATAAGCACCGATTTTATATCGTTAGATATAACATTATTCATGCACCTAATTCCAGTTGTAGGCGCATTTGGAGTAAAGATATTTCTATTTATTTTTTCTATATAGCTAAAACAGAAATCATCATGTCTCGACATTATATTCTATAATGAATCTGTATTCATTGTATAAGTTCATAATATGTTAAGAATTTTGAATTATTAAAGAGTTAACAATAATGATAGTTATTACTACTGGAATCGCTTAATAATTTAGGGATAGAGAAAAATATGTTTAGCACAATGGATGTGAGGATTTAAATTAATATCTTTAAAATGTTAGGAATAATTTCAAAACCTGGAATGTTTTGAAATTTGCATTTATATTATATTGAGATTTTATAAACAATTTAATCATCAGTTTCACAAGGTCTGATTATTTTGAATCATAACGATAGCTTTTCTTTAAGATTATCCATTTTTGTTATTATGGAATAGTGTATTGAGATTAATCAAAGGATTACTTTACAGACTAGTATGTGGTTTACTTTATGGACTAGTCTGAGGACTTGTATGTGAATTAGTCTATATACTTGCCTATGTGCTGTTGTTGAGTCTATTAACTAGTCTATGAACTATTGGAGAGTCTAATGACTGGTCTATAATCCATTGACTAATCTGTGAACTAATCTATGGACTATAGCAAAATTTTATAACATAACAAAATTTTTAATATGTAAATAGCTGTCAAAATCTTGAGTTAAAGAATTTGTTAAAATTTTTCAAAATTGGAATTGAACAAATTTATTATGAATTACATTAACAATGCTCTGATTACTGAAATTAAATTATTATCTTAATTTTGAAATTCTGAGGCAATGTGTTTGAGATTAAAGTTTATCAGATACATCAGTAGTTTCCTTAAAACTTCTACTAATTTTTCAAATATCCTGTCTATTGTGCTAAAAATATAACTTATTTCTCAAATCAACCAAATAATTATAAAAAAAACAATGTATGAAAAAAACATTATATTAAACATTTTGTTTGCCAATCTACAAAATAAACATTTACATTAAACAATACATAAATTATTTAATTATACAAGAAATAATTAAACTTATAAAATAAAAAAATTATATTGTTAATTCCCTAAAACAAACAAACAAAAACCAATATTATTGTTGATACCTAATCCATTATTATTATAATTTAAATAATTATGAAAACAATTAACTAATAATAAAAATTCCAAAAAAAAAAACAGAATAACAAAATCTGTTCAAAACCACAATAAATGAAAGTGTTTTATTTAAAAAATAATTTCAAAACAAGTGCTAATAGAATTGAAATCAAGAATGACAGAGTGAGTTAGCATATGAAACAGAAAATTATTGGTAAGTTTATTTTTAAAATTTTCCCCGAAATTTGAAAACAACCAATCAGAATTGAGTAGAATGGGCTAACACCCCAGACACAACCAGACATTACGACGACGTCAATACTTGAAGAGGGCTACAGTATGTCTGCAAGATTTTAGAGAGGAAAATATTGAAAATTATATTTTGGGATGGTGTGAAAAGACAGACAGACGTCAGTGAGACCACTTAAGATAAACAGCAGGCGGCCGCCAGCAGCAATGTAAATACAAGTAATTGTACGGATTTTAAGTCAAGTGTGAAATTTTCCCAAATGAAGTGATTTTTTTGGGATTTTCGTTGTTTTCTATACTGAAGAAAATTTTCATATAAGAGGACAATTTAAGGAGCTAAAAGGATCAGTTTTAAAACTACAGCTCGACAAACTACAAGCATACATACAAAAAAATTAAGACAAATTTATTAAAAAAAATATAAATATTTAACTAATTTAAATAAAATTAACGAAAAGTGTTAAAAGAATTCTAAGAAAACATGTTATATAATAAATCAGAATCTACTGCCTTAAATACCTCTTACTCCTCCGATGAAATGGCTACCACTAATTCATCAGCCTCTTCAACTGCCTCACTAAAAGAACGTCGCATGTTGCGTACCCCCAAATGCGCCCGTTGCCGTAATCATGGTGTTATTTCATGTGTTAAAGGTCACAAGAAACTTTGCCGTTGGCGTGAGTGTACCTGTCCCAATTGCCAATTGGTGGTGGACCGTCAACGTGTTATGGCCGCCCAGGTGGCTCTTAGACGCCAACAAACTATGGAGGAACCTTATGAAACAAATTCAGATGACTCTTCTTCGCTGCCAAATTGTACTTCTCCTCAAAATTCTTCGGTTTTAAAGCGCACTCAACAAGTTTTAATTGCCCAGAAAAAGATCTATAAACAACGTTTGCGACATGTCCAACAATCGACTTTGTATGCTACCGCTGCCATGGAAAGTAAGTAGTCGCCACTTTTTTAAAATGTTTATTAATATGAGATAAAATTAAGAAAAATCATAAAAATTAGATTTTCAAAAAAAAAAAAAAAATATGTCAGATTAAAAATTCTAAGGGTTTCATCAGATTTTCAATAACAAATCTGAAGGAGTTACATTAAGATTAACATTAAAAATACATCAGATTTTCGCTAAAAATTTCATAAAATTTTTGCTAAATGTTAAAATTTTCCCCCAGAAATCCTATTGTTTACGAAATATTTTCACTTAGAATTCAAAATTTCGCCAAAAATCCATATTCGAAAAAAGTAGTTATTAAAATCATCATGCAAATAGAGTGAAAACATGTATATTCCAAGAATCGGTGAACAATTATATGAAGTTTTGGCAAAACGCCATGATTTCTGGGAAATAACATGTTTCTTTTAAACAAAAAGTAAAAATTTTTATATTATGCCTTTTAATCACAATACAATTTTTTGAAAAACCCCATATTTATCAATTAAGAAAAAATTAATTAGCTTCAATTATGCAAAAATAAACACTGCCCAAATAAAAGAAAATAAAAATCCATTAAAATTAATATAAAAATTCTTAAAAAAAAAAACAAATTGATTTTTAAATAAAACACATGTCAATTTAAAATAGAAACATACAACAACAATTAATTTCCCAGAATTTTACAAAATTTTCCATGAAACTACTTAAAATCAAGACACAAAGTCTAGCAGTCTTTGACCATACTGTCTGAAAGTAAAAATTTCTTGTTGGGCACGTAGACATAAAGTCTACAAGATCAATGGTTAATCAAAAGGATCTATGGTATCATATGCCTTACAGTTTATAGGTTATGTGTATGTAATATGATCTTTAAAATGCATAAAATTATTTGAACAAATTTGTTCAAGAGTTAAGGGTCTTCTTGACACTTCAAATTTAAAACAAATTTGAAAATATTAATAATTTAGTATTATAATTTGAGCTAGGCCCCTTCAAAATTAAAAATGTAATTGGAGTAGGGTCTCAAAAAGAAAACTAAAATAGTTAGTAACTTACTAGTTTAGTATCCAACTAAAAAAACTAACTCAGCATGTGTTACTATACATTAATATAATACTAACCCACACTGACTTTCTTTCAAATGCAAACAATCTTTAAACAATTACATCTGTTTTTGTAAATTGATCCGTGTCATTTCACTATTTCAAAAAAAAACATCCTTAATTTCTAGCCAGACAGTTTGGTGCCATACTGTCTGGACTTTTTAGAGAGAGAGAAAACACATGTGTTTGTTTAGGCAACCAAATGTGTTAATTGTTTATGTTTAGTATAAAACCACAGGAAGAATGGCTTTAGTAATAATTATTATTAATTATTTGAAACAAATATTAATTTATCGTTTTCTTTTCTCTTTTTAGAATACAATCAACATTACAGCAGCTGGAATTCTCCTTTAGTAGAACGTATACGTAAACGTAGAGCCTTTGCTGATCCTGAATTGAATCAAGTTAGTGATGTGACTTTGCTAAATGTGGCCGCCGTGAATCACTTAACACAACCAGCATTTTATGAATATGAAACCCTGCCTGCCTATCAATTAACTTATGCTCCTAATACTTTAACAAATTACAATCAGGAATTAGTTTTATCACCAAGCCATACATATCAGCCAGCATCCTCTGTATCGCCAGTTCAAAAGGAGGAAACTCAAACTCCCGTTAGTAAAAAACCCAAGTTAAGTTTTTCCATAGATGCCATAATGGGTTTTAAATAATTGTAATTAACTAAATAATGCAACTGTATATAAAATTGTTATTATATGTGATAAATTTAATTGTTAATTTTAGATTTTTAAGTTTATTTTTAAGAAAAAAATAATAAATTTAAAATATTACAATAATCTACTACATTGTTTTGAATTACATATAACGTTCACTTCCCAAACTAAAAACTAGACAGCACTTTGTACACTTAAAACATCTGTGTAAAAATCTACTACTCTTTTTTACAACTGCCACTTTAACCCTATCAATAACAACAAAACATAAACAAATGCAAATTTTATCAACGAATGTAAACAAATTCTATTAATTTTGAATTTATTGCAACATTTGTTAAATTTTCTTATTATTTTTAATAAAAAAATTCCACAAAATGTCTGCCCAAGATCAAAGGAATGATATTATACAAGAATACATACCAGAATTAGTAAGATTATTAACTGGTTTTGCGGTAAGTAAAACAGATGGCCGGAATTTCTGATATTATAGAAATAACAAACCGCCTGTTGTGGTTTTCATTTTTTTTAATTAGGATGATGATATCAATATGGAACATTGTGTACATTTTGGTTGGAATATTATACGCAATCATCGTAATTTGAGTACTAACAGTCATGATGTACGCCGCAAAATTGAGGGCATACAAGAACGTTTTCGTGCCGAAAACTGTCCAGAATATGCCGACTATTTGGGTAGACTTTGTGATGAGGTTGTTAAGCATCCTTTGTGTGTGGATCACTATGAAGTGGATGTTCACTGGTCTCTTTTGGACTTTTTATTTACATTGGCCTATAATCCGACGGGTGCCTTGAGAAAGAATAAAAATAAAATTGTCATTCAACCGGTGGCAAGTGAAGAGGTTAAGGAACAGGATGAGGAAAAGGAATATTGGAAGAATGTTCTGCAAGAGGATTTTATACCTGTGTCATCAAATTTTAGCAGTGATTCAGAATTAAGCGTAAGTTTTGGGGTTTTATTTGATGTTAATTTTCGGGAGAATGATTTAGTAGTGTAATTGTGTAATTAGTTCGTTATGGAACGGGTAGGATAATTTTTATGCTTTATTAAAATTCAAACTTTTATTAAAAATTGGATTTTATAAAATAAATTTGAGTTCTACTAAAAATTTTATTAAAAAAATAAGTTATTAATGAAAAATTAAATTTCGCCAAATTTGTATTAAAAATTCAATGCATTAGCCTCTTAAATAAGGTACAATTTAAAATTCTAATAAAATTACAAAATTTCACACGCCCAGGATTGGTCAGAAGACAATGACGATAGTCTAACAGCCACCAATAACGAAGCAACCGTAGCTGAAAATCTCCATCTCGAAGATGTAAAAAGTTTAACTTCATTTAATCAATCACAATTAGGAGAACTTAAACCACCTGAAAAATCTACACCATTTCGTAAATTCGATGCCACCAATGCCAAAGAAAAACTCGAAAATCTCATACAACATTCATGGTGGAAGACAAAACGAAATGAACACTGTAATGCCATAATTGAGAGTAAATTACAAGGTGCAAATTTTGCCATAAACTATAATAAATATTTAAGTGAAACCTCCAATAATTTAATACGTTTTACCATACCCACCACCATAAGTGAACAGCATGTAATGCGTGAAATCTTATGGATGTTTCATATGCCACAGAATTGCAGTATTTTTAGCATAAATGATAACAATCAATTGAAACTAAAAGATAATGTAACCATACCATCCTGTAGTGTGGTAAGTGTTAACATTAATATACATTTTCTAATGATATTTTGTAAAGCTAATTACTTTTTAGAGCTCTTTTGACTCGTATATTCAAGAAAACTTTCTACCTTTTATAAATATGATGCAAATATTGAGAAATTTCCATAAATCCATATATAGCTGTGAGGATCGTGTACCTCCCCGTACTTTAGAATGTTATGCTGCCAATTTACATTTACATTTAGCGCCCATTTGGCAAGATTTATTGGCTTATGAAAAACGTTTGTTAGAACCACAAGATTTTCAAATTAACACCTTAATTAATATGCGCTTAATGCTAAGAGATTCTATGCGACATTTGGAGGCATTATATGAATGTCATCAGCAGGTTGTAATAAACTGGCGTCAATATCCCTCCCACATATCAGCCGCCTTTCTATTGGCCAGTTTAATGCATTGTTATAAAGTAGAAACTGATATTGAAAAAGCGAACTTATTTATGTCTTTACTATTGGCCTCTATAAAAGTATTTTGTGAAATTATTGATACCTGGTGGACGGAGGGAAGATTAGATGATTGGCAACAGGAATATATTGTTGAAAGGGTCAGCAATGTTGATCATACTGTTTGCATGCGTGAATATTGTAAAAATAAAAGTAAAGCCTTCTTTGTGCCCACGCACGTTAGCAAAATGATTGAAGAAAATAGTGTTTTTCATTTAATACAAGAACATTCTCTAGAGGCTGGTCGCACTCTGAATCTGCTTTATGAAATTAATCGTATTGGTGATTTGCGTTATAACTGTGATGCTATGCAGGGTAAATTATATAATGTTTTCATAGAAGATCTGCTTAAGCAGATCAATACACTGCAAAGTGAAGTGGAAAATGTATATAGAGCCAGCGCTAACCAAGAAGATATGTCCGAGGATAGTGGTTATTACAATGAAGCTGCTACAAATACTCCCAAGCCTAAAGAGAACATTATATTGGATAATTTAACCACTCAAGATGATTTCCTTTTAATGGCTTTTGCTTTGAATACTAGTGAGGAAGATTTAAGTGTTAATAAGGCTTTTGCAATAGAGGAACAGCAGGATCTTGTTGCGAATAAAAGTAGTGAACCTATAAATGCTCTCAACATATATGAGACATTGCAAAAGTCCAAAAACTATTTGCCTTTGGAGGAAGCTGTCATTAATGCTTTAACCAGAATATTAAAAGTACGCATTGCATTTGCAAATTGTTTTGTTATGCGTCTATATCGCGAAGAAGTTATGATTCTGAAACATTTACAGAATATACGCAAAGTTTTCCTAATGGAGGCTAGTGATTTGATGCATCAGTTTTATAGTAAATTATTTCAACAGGTGAGTATTTGAAAAATACTGTCAACGTGATGATAACAAGTTTTACTATAAGGAAAACATAGTTTTTTTAATATATTTCCTTTATTATTAGATTGAATCTGGTGTAACTTGGGCCAATCCCTCTATTCTCACCATGCAACTTGACGGTATTATTTGTGCCAAATTTCCCGAAATGTCTTCACTTTTTCGTTTGGAAATCAATGCAGAATTTCGTTGTGAAACCACCAAAGTAGTTGATTGTGTTGAAGAGATCATTGTCACCTATAACTTAAGTCGAGAATTGGCCTACATAATTAGTAATGAAGATATACAATCTTATAACAAAGTTTTCTGTTTTCTGCTAAAAGTCAAATGGGGCATTACCACGTTGGAAAAATTACAATTTGCTCGTAGTCACAAAAGACGCATACCATATGCCAAATTTGAAATGATCGATTTAATAATGCGTCGTTTAGAACAGTTACGCTTTTGGATGATGTATGCCATACAAAGTGTACATTTTCATTTAATGACTCATGTCCTACAATCAATGGGTGAACAGTTAGATATTAAAATTGATAATTGTGAGAATCTTAAAGAAATGGAAATGGTTCACAAGTCCTATTTGAGTACAGTGTGTGAACATTGTTTTTTAACCGAAAGTGTTCATACAATTAAGACGGGAGTGGAACAGCTTTTGAGTTTGGTTTCAATTTTACGCGGTGAATGGTTGGGTTGTGTTAAATACATTGAAAGCAATAGTCCTTTAGCTATAGATCTGGATGATAGTTCTGATGATTATGCTGATACTGATTTTGTAACCAATTCTCAAATAGATGCCATGGAATATACCTATATTTGTTGTCATCAATACTTGGCCAATGTTTTAAATGATCAGGTTTATTTGCAGAAGAGGACATTTTGTAAGTTTATGCTTTGAGTAAAGTTTTTGAAATGATTTCAAGTTATTTATTTTTCTTTTCTTCTTAGTGTCCGGTCTACGAGCTGCGTTTAATACTAGTTTGCCTCATTAGTAAGTAGATTTTATAAACCGTTTCAGTTGTTGTGTTGATCATTATACATAAAAGTATTAAGATATACGAATACAGGAATAAAATTTTTTTATATTTATTAAAGAAAAAAACGGTCAATGAATGTAATTACAATTAGAAAAAAGTAAGTAAATTTTAAACTGATAAAATCTTTATTATAACAAAATAATTAGAGAATAATATTTGTATTTAACGTTTTCTTTAAACGCCTCTTTTTGAAATTGTTCGCCTTTCTCTACACTTTGTTTTTATTCTATTGTTATGGTTTGGGTTGCTATTAGCAACCATTGAAACCTTTGACATATGTTTCCAAAAACTTTAACTATTGAAAATAAAAAACAATGAATAACACCATTAGAGGTAAGTTTAATTACAAAGTAATAATTTATTTTTCGTTAAGATAACTATTACAAATTTACAGAATTACCCTATAAACCCAGTTTGATATTACAAATCTTAATGTTTTGTAATGTTTATTTATCGATAGCCTGGAATGTGGTCTATGGATTTTATATACTTTACAATGTAAGTCAAACTAATACCACAATGTTGCAATTCATACAAAAATCCTTTACCAAACAGCTATCTAATTTATACGACTTGCATGGCATTTGTGTGATAGTGGCCTATTTAGTGGGTTCCATAGTGGAATTCTATCGTTTACGTATGGGCTATAAAGGCAATTTACATTCTAGGGTAAGTATACATTCGAATGCCTTATACTAAATTATTTGATTTTAATATTTTCCACTTACAGCCTGGTGACTTGTGTACCTTTTTGATATTGTCACCGTTTGTACAATTGCCCGTTTTATTATTTTTATTATTATCGGCTCAAAACTTTTCCACTTTAATTACCTCCATAGCGCTTTGTTCATTTGTTGTTATGGGTTTAGAATTTGTATTCGGTTTAGCTATTTTATGGCCCAAATCTGAAAAACCTATAAATGTGAATAAGTAGTCAACTAGTTTTGCTAAAATTTAAAATTTTATTATTACACTTATAGGAAATTAAATAAGAACACTGAAATATATTTTTATATTAAAATTAAAGCTTAATCTCTTTTGTCTACAATTTTGTTAAAAAAAAAACTAACAGCTACACTTTGCTTTTATCATCTAAATCGTATTTTTTAAGTAAATTATCAATACGATCAAGATGAGCTCTCATCGTGGGCAGAAATGTTTCGAGAACTTTAATATTTTCATCATGTTGAGGACCATTACCGATTAATTGGGAGCGTGTCGGTACCCAGCTATACATAATCTGTTAAATTAATAAAAATACATAAAATGTTTTAAATAGATTTTTTTTAACGAAATTCTAATATCGAAAAGAATACACGAAGATAATTGTGCGGTGGATCTGTTACCGATCGATAACAACATTTTCTTACCGAAATTCTGTTATCAAACTGATTTTGTTTTAAGAAATTTTTTTATTGATCGATAACTAATTTTCTTTAAATGTTTTTTTTTATCGATCGATAACAAAAATGTTCTTAACGAAAATCTGTTATCGATCGATAACAAAAATGTTCTTAACGAAAATCTGTTATCGATCGATAACAAAAATTTTCTTAACTAAAATCTGTTATCAATCGATAACAAAAATTTTCTTAACGAAAATCTGTTATCGATCGATAACAAAAATTTTCTTAACGAAAATCTGTTATCGATCGATAACAAAAATTTTCTTAACGAAAATCTGTTATCGATCGATAACAAAAATTTTCTTAACGAAAATCTGTTATCGATCGATAACAAAAATTTTCTTAACGAAAATCTGTTATCGATCGATAACAAAAATTTTCTTAACGAAAATCTGTTATCGATCGATAACAAAAATTTTCTTAACGAAAATCTGTTATCAATCGATAACAAAAATTTTCTTAACGAAAATCTGTTATCGATCGATAACAAAAATTTTCTTAACGAAAATCTGTTATCGATCGATAACAAAAATTTTCTTAACGAAAATCTGTTATCGATCGATAACAAAAATTTTCTTAACGAAAATCTGTTATCGATCGATAACAAAAATTTTCTTAACGAAAATCTGTTATCGATCGATAACAAAAATTTTCTTAACGAAAATCTGTTATCGATCGATAACAAAAATTTTCTTAACGAAAATCTGTTATCGATCGATAACAAAAATTTTCTTAACGAAAATCTGTTATCGATCGATAACAAAAATTTTCTTAACGAAAATCTGTTATCGATCGATAACAAAAATTTTCTTAACGAAAATCTGTTATCGATCGATAACAAAAATTTTCTTAACGAAAATCTGTTATCGATCGATAACAAAAATTTTCTTAACGAAAATCTGTTATCGATCGATAACAAAAATTTTCTTAACGAAAATCTGTTATCGATCGATAACAAAAATTTTCTTAACGAAAATCTGTTATCGATCGATAACAAAAATTTTCTTAACGAAAATCTGTTATCGATCGATAACAAAAATTTTCTTAACGAAAATCTGTTATCGATCGATAACAAAAATTTTCTTAACGAAAATCTGTTATCGATCGATAACAAAAATTTTCTTAACGAAAATCTGTTATCGATCGATAACAAAAATTTTCTTAACGAAAATCTGTTATCGATCGATAACAAAAATTTTCTTAACGAAAATCTGTTATCGATCGATAACAAAAATTTTCTTAACGAAAATCTGTTATCGATCGATAACAAAAATTTTCTTAACGAAAATCTGTTATCGATCGATAACAAAAATTTTCTTAACGAAAATCTGTTATCGATCGATAACAAAAATTTTCTTAACGAAAATCTGTTATCGATCGATAACAAAAATTTTCTTAACGAAAATCTGTTATCGATCGATAACAAAAATTTTCTTAACGAAAATCTGTTATCGATCGATAACAAAAATTTTCTTAACGAAAATCTGTTATCGATCGATAACAAAAATTTTCTTAACGAAAATCTGTTATCGATCGATAACAAAAATTTTCTTAACGAAAATCTGTTATCGATCGATAACAAAAATTTTCCTAACGAAAATCTGTTATCGATCGATAACAAAAATTTTCTTAACGAAAATCTGTTATCGATCGATAACAAAAATTTTCTTAAAGAAAATCTGTTATCGATCGATAACAAAAATTTTCTTAAAGAAAATCTGTTATCGATCGATAACAAAAATTTTCTTAAAGAAAATCTGTTATCGATCGATAACAAAAATTTTCTTAAAGAAAATCTGTTATCGATCGATAACAAAAATTTTCTTAAAGAAAATCTGTTATCGATCGATAACAAAAATTTTCTTAAAGAAAATCTGTTATCGATCGATAACAAAAATTTTCTTAAAGAAAATCTGTTATCGATCGATAACAAAAATTTTCTTAAAGAAAATCTGTTATCGATCGATAACAAAAATTTTCTTAAAGAAAATCTGTTATCGATCGATAACAAAAATTTTCGATCGATAACAAACATTTTCTTAAAGAAAATCAGTTACCGATCGTGAACAGAATTTCGTTAAGAAATGTTTGTTATCGATCGATAAAAAAACAATTTAAAGAAAATTAGTTATCGATCAATAAAACAATTTCTTAAAACAAAATCAGTTTGATAACAGAATTTCGGTAAGAAAATGTTGTTATCGATCGGTAACATATCCACCGCATAATTATCATCGTGTATTCTTCGCGAAACCTATCGTTTTATTTTGTAAATACTCACCTTAATTGTACTTTGTACAATAAAACCATGATATGGTTTAAGTGTCTTCTCATAAGCATCCAGCAAATGCTTCTTCACCACTTCCGTAGATTCTTTGTCATGGAAAATATTCTCAAAGAAAGTGCAAATCAATTGTAAACCGCGTTTAAGCCACAACAAAGCATTGGCAGCAAAATTATCTACATTAACATTTAGTATAATTAAATCTTCTAAATATTTATATTTAACAGGATCCTTTTCATAAGATTTGCGGATTTTCTAAAACAAAACATATAAATATGGTTTAAAACTACAATTTATTAATTGAAACTTTTACAAATTACAAACTTACAGCGACATTACCGCTCATATCACTAATAACGGGTGTAAATAAAGTACCAAAGGAACCTGTAATTAAGGGGTAATAGAACGATTAATTTACAAAATAAACTTAAAAATTGTACATTACTTCATATTTTAAATTGTTATGACTAGTGTTTTATTATAAAATATTTAATTAAGAACGTGTTTTTAATATTATTTTCTAATAAATTATTTGCTTTAAAATAAATTGCCCTCTTGATTCCCTTATCTTTATTCATTAAGAAGAATGTGTATAATTTGTAGTGCAATGACAAAATTTATTCATTATATTTACGATATTATCGTAAACATAAAATTATATTGAGTCATATTTAAATGCAGTATATAAATAGCTACACAATTTCCTAAAAGTTTTTTAATAATTAATAGAAAAATTTTATACATTTAAGGAGTTACAAATTGGTTTAACGTATTCAAAAGTTGTATAAGTTTTATTCTTGTTTTTTTTACTAACACCTAGATTTTTTGCTAGATTTTCTTTTTTAACAGAACAATATAAACATTTAAAGTAATACATATTTAATTTAAATATTTAACACATTGCCTTAAAGTAAATAATTTCTGGCATTTTATGAGCTTTAACTAGTTCAAGTTACACTGTTCCCATTTGAAATAGATTTGGTCGAAAGTTCAAACTTTCAATAGAAAATCAAGTTTTGGACAAAATTATCATTAGAAAACCTAGTTTGGGACACAGTTTCTATAAAAGATCAAATTTGCGATATTTTCTATGCAAAATCTACCTTATGAAAAAAAATTAAACTCTAGTACGGGACAACATTTTCTATAGAAATTTTTGTTTGGGACAACGTTTTCTATAGAAATTTTTGTTTGGGACAACATTATTTATAGAAAATCTAGTTTGGAACAATTTTCAACAGAAAATCAAGTTTTAGACAAAATTATCGATAGAAAGCCAAGGGACAACATTTTCTACAGAATATCAAATTTTCAATAGAAAATCAATTTTGGGACTTTATTTCCCATAGAAAATCAAAGTTGAGACAAAAAGTTGGGACATTTTCTAAGGAAAATCTAATTTGGGACAAAATTTTCAATAGAAAGTCAAGTTTAGGACATCATTTTCTATAGAAATTTTTGTTTGGGACAACATTTTTTATAGAAATTTTTGTTTGGGACAACATTATTTGTAGAATATCTAGTTAGAAACAATTTTCAGTAGAAAATCATGTTTGGAAAAAATTTTCAATAAAAAGTCAAGTTTGGGACAACATTTTCTATAGAAAAACTAGTTTGGTACAATATTTTCTATAGAAAATCTAATTTGGGACATTTTAAATGCAAAATCTAATTTATTACAAAAAAAAGAAAATCTAGTTCGAGACAACATTTTCTTAAGAAAATCTAATTTAGGACAAAATATTCAATAGAAAATTAAGTTTAGGACAAAATTTTCAATAGAAAGTCAAGTTTGGGACAACATTTTCTGTAGAAAATCTCGATTGGAACAACATTTACTATCGAATATCAAATGTTCAATAGAAAATCAAATTTGGGACATTATTTTCCATAGAAAATCAAAGTTGGGACATTTTCTTAAGAAAATCTAATTTGTGACAAAATGATCAATAGAAAATTAAGTTTAGGACAAAATTTTCAATAGAAAGTCAAGTTTGAGACAACATTTTCTATAGAAAATCTCGTTTGGGACAACATTTTCTATGGAATATCAAATTTTCAATATAAAATCAAATTTAGGACATTATTTCCCATAGAAAATCAAAGTTGAGACAAAATTTTTTTTAGAAAATCTTGTTAGAGACAAAATTCTCTATAGATTTTTTTTTAATTTTTCAAGAATTTAAGAATGGAGCTTTTTGAGATATATTCGAAAATTCGAAATTATGTTCGAAAAATGTTTAAAGTTGTTAAAAATATTCCCTAAATTATAAGGATTTATAAAAAAAATTATTTAAGGTTAATTTCAAATTTCGAAAATTCAAATTTCAATTTTGAAATTTGTCAATAAATATTTTTAAAGCTAAACTATATTTCAATGTAAAATTTTGTTTGTTTTTACTAATTTAACTAATATTATACTCAATCAGTAATTCTATTCGAAATCCAAAATTTCCATATTTATAAGTTAAATCAAAATAATGTATTGTAATCAAACTAATATTGAAATATACATTTATTCCCCGCTAACAAAAGAAATGGTGTTAAAACATTCATTTAGCACTTACTATTAATATAATTAATTTTCTATATTTACTTAAACAACAAAAAAACTATAAAGAAATATAAATATACATAAACAAAATTTGCAAAAACAAATTGTTTAACACATAAAAATACTTACGTATAACATCCACAATTTCACTAGAGGCAGCTAAAAATTCTTCCGTTTCGATTTTATCATGATCATTACAAGCTGGAAAGCCCTTAAGTTTTGAAAATTGTATACGAGCTTCTGTCATTGTTGTTGCTGCAGCTGTTGCTTTCTACTGGCCGTTTTAAACTATTGAACTACACTGGTCTGGTGTGTGAGTTTAGAAATTTACTTTCCTACTGACTGAATGACTGACAAAAGCAGTGTTTAAGAGTCTAAATCAATACTGCTTCAATTTTATTAGTAGTATTTTTTTGTAATTGTTGATTGTTTGCTTGTTTTTATTGGGCATTCGCTTGATTTTTTTTGCTATCTTATCACTTTATTATTATTATTTTTTTTGTTGAAGTAGGTAGTCTATTTTGTGTGTTTATGTTTTATTTTTTGGGCTATTTGGAAGCAAAAAAAAATTGATACGTATGCGGCGATAAATTTGTTTTGTTGGCAACTTATAATAAAATAGACAAACTACTTATAGAGTCTTAAGACAAAATGATGAGTTGACGTGAGCGCAGCACTGATCAATGTTATGAACTTCTAGTTTGTTATTTTAGTTAGTTGTATCTCTTGGATTATTTAACTATTAGCTGGTAAAACTGAGCAGTTAGTTTGATATAAACATACGCATGTTTATGTTAATAATGAAGTAGTGAGCATAAGTTTCTGTTTCAGTTAATGACGTTTCTTTGGCTTCTCCGATTATTGTATGAATGAGTGAAATTTTTGAGAGTTAATAGGTATGAGTGCGTAAATGAATAGTTTGTTTGTTGTTTTGTTGTATTTAACAATAACAATTCTTTGGTATTTTTTTATAAATTTATGACTAATAGGAAGACGTTGTTTTGGGTCAAAGTATATCAGAATTCATTATTGATGTTTATTTTGATAATTTTGTAAAAAATTGTAAATTTTATTAATAATTAAATTCACTTTTAAGTTGCAGCTTCTTCCTGAGGGTGTTATTAATAAGATTTGTAGGTTAAAGTTTAGTTGTTCCAAGTAAAACATTCGTTGTATTTATAAATACTTGCTTTGAATATTTTGATATTTCAGAATTTTCCTTCACGAATCAAACTGTGGTTGTTTTTTGGTATTTTTATTGTAGCATATGCTTAGGCTTATATTTAAAACTTTTTTTCTTGTCTAGCAAGTAGGGGCATTTTAAGTTTTTTTTTTTATAAAATTCTACAAAACTTGATTTAAAGCTAATTTCTTTGGATTTTTTGTAGCATATATTTAGGCTTCTATTTAATATATTTTTGTAGTCTACTGGAAAGGATAACTTTATTAAAGAATTCTTCTTGTTATATTTTCAAACACCTGCCAGTTTTGAAACCACTTTTCTTTGGTTTTTACAACAGTTTAAAGATATTGTCTACCAAGTATTCCATTACAATTCCAATTTCTTAGTATGGCCATAAATACTCATAACAAATAAATAATTATCCTTCGGTAAGTTATTGCGTAAAACTTTTAAATCAAATTCAAATACCGGCTTCTCTTCCGACGTCTTTTGCAACTCAAACCATTCTTTAACCAAGCTATTAGAATTTTCACGTAATTCTATTATCTTTAAGGGTAATTCCAAGCTCTTTACAATACCCAAAGTCAAATCCAGTTTTACCTTAAAGGCATTACTTTGAAACGTCTCCAAATCCTTTCTCAACCAAGCATGATGGGCTAAAATCACTGCTGAATTTGGAGAAAAATAAAACGAATCATTTTCTTGTTGCTCCCGGTAACGTTGTAAAAAACCATTGGCCGGATCTTTTAAACGAGTAAAACGTGGTTTATTTGCTGTTATCGGCTTTTGCTGCACTATCCTTTCCGGCAAGTGTTCAGTTTTAGTTTGTAAGGTAAACACTCGATTAATATAATCAAAATTAGAGCCCATAACACCTTGCAAATCATGGCCTAAATCAAAAATATGACCTATTTCATGGCACACAGCTCCTAAACTGGAGGCATATACTCCTGCTTTAGTTTTACGATAATTACTGTCATCTGGTTCGAAAGCAAGATTTAAGTTTTGTTGATTTAGAAAGCATTTGAAAATGTCGGCAAATTCACTAGGCCAACTGTAAAAGTAAGTAGTACTAAACAAGGCCAAACCTCCTGCTCCCAAGGCGGCATGACCCTTGATATGTTTTCTTATGTTTTGATACGAAAAATCTTTGGATTTCTCTATTTCCGAGCCCAAATACTTGCTGCAGTTTATAAAAGCTATAGACTTTATATGATCCTGGTTACCCCACTCTGAGGCCAGTAGATCCTTAGCAATTTGCAGCCACAAATCCTGTTCCTCAAGCTGCCATATCTCCTTCTTGGTGAGTTTGGAAATAAATATCTTACATTTATCATTAAACACAAAGGTTAATCTTTGCTTAACCGCCTCCCACAACTTTTCCGCATATACCGTTTGTATTAATAATAAATTTAAATCAATTATTTGTTGATTTAACTTAACAATTTCATTTTGTTGCACTTCATCTTTGGCCAGTATTATTAAAGGTTGGATTTTATATAATGATTCCTTTTTTTCATAAATTATATTTATTAACAACTTTACTTTGCCGTAAGAGAAATTTAATTGAAATTTTCTATTTTCTTGGCCCAAATCGATTAAAAATTTAAATCTTCCCGTGTTGTGACATAAGCCGGTGCTTAAAATTTGCCTATTTTCTATATATAACGCTATATCTTGTTGTTTATAACACTTAGGCTGTTCCACAACACCCTTAATTAATAGTATTTGTTGTGGTATTACAAAATTATCTTGTAAATTTAATAATTTTATCAAATGTAAACAATTTTCACACGACATAGCAAAAATTTTTTCTTGTATTTGTTTTACTACTCATATGTAGTGAAGGTATTTTATTGTTTTGTTTTGTTAAATAGAGAATGCCTATTAACGATAACTTTTACTACTAAATACGATAACTACTCCGTTGAACATATTTATGACATTTTAGTACTTACACATACCTAAGAAAAATACTCTTTTTAACAACTGTGTAGGCAAAAATATCTGACACGTCAATTTTCTTTAAACATAAAAATCTTGTGAAAATATTAAACGCTAGCAATTTTTTAATAAATTTCTTTAAAATTTATTATAATTTAAAGCAAAATTGCATTAGAAATCTTTTAACTATAATATTAATTGTGTATAAAGTGAAATAATTGTGTTTAAATAACAAAAATTAAAACAAAATGGCCTTGTCTACTACCACTGTGCCCTGTTACACCATTATCAATTCTCCGGATTTGGAGGTGCCCAATGAAATGCAATTGAAACAGGATTTGGAAAAGGGTGATACTAATGTTAAAATTGATACCCTTAAAAAGGTTATTCAACTATTGTTGAATGGCGAACGTTTGTCGGGTCTAATCATGACCATCATACGTTTTGTGTTGCCTGTACAAAATCACACCATTAAGAAGTTGCTGCTTATCTTTTGGGAAATTGTACCCAAGACATCGGCGGATGGTAAATTGTTGCAGGAAATGATTTTAGTGTGTGATGCTTATAGAAAGGTAAGTTGAAATTCTTGTTTTGATTGATATTAAGCAAAAATATAAAAAAATTAAACATTGGATGATACCTTAGGACAATCTATAAAGGGAATGTGTAAATTGATTTTTTATTATTATGGAACAGTTTTATAGAGCAAAATTTATCTTTTTCTACGATAATAACAATTTAATAAATATGTACATGTTGTTTTAACAAACTTGGTCCGGAAGTGGCCAAGTGGGTTGTGCCGGATAATCTTTATAGTTGTAATTGATATTGTGAAAATAAATATAAATGGTTTTGGAACCCTAAGAAGTTAAAATCGTAGAAAACTTTTAAAATAATTAAAGGATTCCTAAATTTTAAAAAAACCGTGGGATAAGAGACCTTTGGTCAAATAAGAGTTTTTTGCCTACAGGAAATATCGAAAAGTGGCCAAGTGGGTTGTAGCGGATAATCTTTATAGTTGTAATTGATATTGTGAAAATAAATATAAATGGTTTTGGAACCCTAAGAAGTTAAAATCGTAGAAAACTAAAATAATTAAAGGATTCCTAAATTTTTAAAAAACCGTGGGATAAGAGACCTTTGTTCAAATAAGAGTTTTTTGCCTCCAGGAAATTTCGAAAAGTGTCTTCGCTAAGCATTTACCTTAAAAATCATTATTTCCTTTATCTCAACTTTTTTAAATTAAATATTAATTTACCCTTTTCTCATTTCAGGATCTTCAACATCCTAATGAATTTTTACGTGGTTCCACTCTACGTTTCTTGTGCAAACTTAAAGAACCCGAACTATTGGAACCTTTAATGCCTTCCATTCGTGCTTGTTTGGAACATCGTCACTCGTACGTAAGACGTAATGCAGTTCTTGCCATTTTTACCATTTACAAAAACTTTGACTGGCTGGTACCCGATGGTCCTGAATTGATAGCCAATTTCTTGGATACCCAACAGGATATGTCCTGCAAACGTAATGCTTTTCTTATGCTCTTGCATGCTGATCAAGAGAGAGCCCTTAATTATTTGGCTTCCTGTATTGATCAAGTGAATAATTTTGGCGATATCCTACAATTGGTCATAGTTGAGTTGATCTATAAGGTGTGTCATGCTAACCCCGCTGAACGTTCTCGTTTCATTCGTTGCATTTATAATCTTTTGAATTCATCTTCGAATGCGGTGCGTTATGAGGCTGCTGGTACTCTGATTACTTTATCTTCAGCTCCTACCGCTATTAAGGCTGCTGCTGGTTGCTACATTGAATTGATTGTCAAGGAGAGTGACAACAATGTTAAATTGATTGTCTTAGATCGTTTGATTGCCATGAAGGAGAATGAAAATATGGAAAAAGTTATGCAGGACTTAGTAATGGATATATTGCGTGTCTTGGCAGCCCCTGATATTGAAGTAAGACGCAAGACTTTGGCTTTAGCCATGGATTTAGTGTCCTCTAGAAATATTAACGAAATGGTTTTAGTATTGAAAAAAGAAGTCTCTAAAACTCACAATGTGGAACATGAAGACACTGGCAAATATCGTCAGCTATTAGTGCGTACTTTACATTCTTGCTCTATTAAATTCCCCGATGTAGCAGCTAGTGTTATACCAGTATTAGTTGAATTCCTTTCTGACACTAATGAATTGGCTGCTGCTGATGTTTTGATTTTCATAAGAGAAGCTATACAGAAATTCCCCTCTTTGAGAGGTTTGATAATTGGTCATTTGATAGAGGCTTTCCCACAAATCAAATCCTCTAAAATACATCGCGCTGCTGTTTGGATTTTGGGTGAATATGTCGATGATAAAAATCAAATTTTGGAAGTTATTGATGTTATCTGCCAAACTTTGGGTGAAATACCCATGGTTGAAGCTGAACATAGACGTTTGGCAGGTGATCAAACCGAAGAAGAAGCAAATGCTGCCAATAATCCACCAGCAGCTGCTCAAATTTCTAATAACAAAGTAACTTCGGATGGTACTTATGCCACTCAGAGTGCTTTCAGTTTGGCCCCGTAAGTTGAAAATATAAAGTAGCTAATTATTTTTTTTTTATTTACATATTTTTCTGTTTTCTTTAATTTTAGAATTGCTAAAAAGGAGAAACGCCCACCATTGCGTCAATATCTTATGGATGGTGATTTCTTTATTGGTGCCGCTTTATCGGCCACTTTAACCAAATTGGTTTTACGTTATGCTGATTTAGAACAAGATGTGGTAAGTAGTTTTTCATGCAAATTTACTTAACAAATCATCCCTCTTTGTTCTCAAAATAAAATGCTAACTATGTTGAAAGAGCCGCAATGTTTTGCTAAATATAACAAAAACATGATCTTATCTTAAAATCAATTATGATAAATATTTATCAATTAAAGCATAAACATGGCGGTCGATGTCATATTGAGGCCTTTTCTAAAAAATATATTTTAAAACAAGAAAAAACTATGAGTAAAAAAATAATTTTTTGTTTAACTTTTAGCGTACCCAAAATCGTTTGACAACTCGTGTTATGCTTATCATGAGCTCTATTCTTCATTTGGGCAAATCTGGTTTCCCCACCAAACCCATTACCAACGATGATACCGATCGTATTTTCATTTGTTTGCGCACTTTAAGCGAACGCACAGATGAAGCTGTTGAAGTCTTCAAACGTTATTGTCGTGAAGCTTTGGGCAAAATGTTAGATGCACAATACGAAGAAGATCAACGTGTACTCAAAGAGAAGCAAAGAGCTGCTGCTAAAGTACAACCCGATGATCCTGTTCTCTTCTCACAACTTTCTAACGGACGTGAAAATCAATTGGGTGAAAATGTATTCGAATCTAGTTTGAATCAAGCTTTAGCTGGTACCAAATCTACCAATTTGAGTGACATTACTTCTCCCAACAATAAATTGAATAAGGTAACACAATTGACTGGCTTTTCGGATCCCGTTTATGCTGAGGCTTATGTTAATGTCAATCAATATGATATTGTATTGGATGTATTGATTGTAAATCAAACAAGTGGGTTTTTTATATTTCTTTTATTTTAGTTGAAAAATATTTATTAAAATGTTTGTTTTTTAAGATGATACTTTGCAAAATTGTACTTTGGAATTGGCTACTTTGGGTGACTTGAAATTGGTAGAACGTCCTCATCCTGTTGTTTTGGCTCCCCATGATTTCTGCAACATCAAGGCCAATGTTAAGGTGTCCTCCACAGAAAATGGCATTATATTTGGAAATATTGGTTAGTAAAGTTTTATTTTAAATTTAAAATACTTTAATAGTTTTATTAATTTGGTTTTTGTTGCTTTTAGTTTATGACACTTCTATCAACACTAATGTTGTGGTCTTAAATACTATTCATATTGATATTATGGATTATATCATACCTGCCAGTTGCACTGATACCGAATTCAGACAAATGTGGCAAGATTTTGAATGGGAAAATAAGGTGAAGATTGAAGTTTTCTATTCTTTACTATAATTTCTAAAGATTTCTTGTTATTTTTTTAGGTTACCGTTAACACTACTTTCACTGATTTACATGAATATCTGAAACATCTGCTTAAGAGCACAAATATGAAGTGTCTAACACCCGAAAAAGCTTTATCAGGTCAATGTGGTTTCATGGCTGCCAATATGTATGCTAAGTAAGTTTAAATTTAGAAATTTTAGTCTTATTACCGATTTCATAAAGTTATTGAAATTCCTATAATAAACCTTCAATAACTTTATTAAACGTTTAAGAATACAGAGCTTAATTTTTAACATTTTTGTTATTTTATAACCTTTTTAGATCCATTTTCGGTGAAAATGCTTTGGCCAATTTAAGTATTGAAAAACCAGTTGATGATCCAGACTCTAAAGTTACTGGTCATATTAGAATACGTGCCAAGAGCCAGGTAAGACTTTATTTTTTAGTTTTAAATTGGTTATATTTCATTTAAATAAATAAATGAATGTTATATGAACGAGTTGTAATGAATATTATAATTCTAAACCAACGAAGTAAGGGTTATGCATCAGAAGATGTGCAACTCCACTCGGAGTGCGCTGAGGTAGGTCCATTGTGAATTCCTTCATTGAAAATAAAGAATCAACATGATTAGATAATGATTTTAAAAAGTCAAAAGAACTGGAACTGAACTAGATTCAAACTGTTTTCTAAAAATAGTCTAGATTAAAAGTGTTGTATGCCATAAAGAGACCCAAAGGGTCCATTGTGATTCTCTTGATGAAATAACAAAGAAATCAGAAGGACAAGAACATTGAAGAATAAGAGAGGGAGAAAGATGTGATGAGTGAAAATACCCTCCTGAAAGGAAGACAATGAATACTAATAATCAATAATTCCCTGGATGAAAC